AAACCTCAATTCAAAACACACCACTACAACCATCGTCGCCCAACACCACCACAACTACCCAACTCCACCCACACCCACCATTGTCGTTCACCACCACCACTCAGTATACACACTCAAGATAGTGTACTCAAGGATAGCGTATTAAAGACAGTGAACTTAAACAATAAATGTAAGAGAGTGAACTAAAAATAGTGAATACAAATAAATTGTGTTTAATTTATATGTAATTGTACAAAGGGGGAGAGAGAAAAAATAATTTTTGTTTAATTTATTTTTATTTTGTTGTTTTATAAGTTATCCCAAACATCACCTTATATCTAATCCGAAAAGAGCAATGGGCTATGGTTATGGCCGCGCCTGCTTGGTATTTGTATTTGTAGTTCTTCTGTCATTGTGTGCTTCCTCATGTCTCTAACTTGTCCACTATTCAATCTTGCTCTCATTCTCATCAAATAGGTCATCACTTTCTTTACTTTGATAGGGTTCAAAATGAGTATTCACTTTCAAAATTCATGGTAATCTCATTTCAATTTCTATTTCTTCTTCTAATAATCTCTTTATATATATATATATATATAAAAGTTGAGTGAAGTTGAACTTAACGCTTTAAATTATTGATAATTTTCAACAATTTTTACATTTTTTTTTAGTACGATTACTTTCTTCCCATGTATTATGCACTCGTCACTGTGAATGGGGGTCTTCGTTGACTTTGTGGCAAAGTTACTATATATATATAAAAGTTGAATGAAATTCAACTTAATGCTTTAACAAGTTCATACCTAAACTAACTGATAATTTTCAACGATTTTTACCTTTTTTTTTTTTTTAGTACGATAGCTTTCTTCCCCTTGCATTATGCACCCGACGACATTGTGGACAGGGTCTTCGTTGAGTTTGTGTTAAAGTTAGTAGATATCAAGGCGATCCTATGATAGTGGTAGAGGGTGAAGATGTGATATGCAACTTTATGACTTGTCTTGATTGGGCACACATCTCTTTCTTACTTACCTTGTGGCCGCCCAATCTTTCAGACGATACAATGGTGTATCTCTGCACGTTTTGTACGAGTATGAAACCTTTGATTTATTTTTTAGGTGCGATTATTTTCGTTCTATAAATCTCTATTTTTATTTTATTTAATTTTTTATTATCAAATTCTTAATCCCACCTCTTCTATACGTATCTCATTAATAACTAAGTTTACCTCATGTTACATACACTTTCTTTTAAGAAAAAAAAGGATGAAATAAGAAAAAAAAAACTAAGCAAAAATTAAAGGAACAAATAAAACTATAAGATACAAAATCACAAGATACAAAACCGAATATGAATTAAAAAACAAGCATCAAACACATATACAAAATTAAACAAGAAAAAACATTACAAGTATAGATGCAAACCTAAATAAGATAAATAAGAACAAATAATCTGAAAGTATACATATATATACACACATAAAAATTTTAAATAAAAAATTATTAAGCTTGACAGAGATATCAAACATACTGAAAATAATGAAAATCTATATAATAAACATGAAATCAAATATAGAATTAAATTGAGAAGTAATACTAACATGTATCTTACTGGAAAAATTTATATTGAAAAAGTGTTTTTATGAGTGTATGAAATAAAATAGAATATAAACCCTAATTATAACAAAATTTAAAGTGAGTTTATTTATTAAAAAGGGTGTATGTAATATGAGGTGAATATAGAAAAGGTGGACTTAATAGTTTAATAGTGAGAAATAAAATAGGGTGGGAATAGCGCCACCCTTATTTTTTTGGGAAAATATTATAATTGGTAATTGAATTTTATTATTGATTTTAATTTAGTTTTTGAATTTTGAATTGTTTTAATTTAGTCGATCAGCTCAAGTAATGACAAGAACGAGCTCTAAAACTATATATTTTGAGTTTGAATTTTGCAAACTCCTGGAGTCTAATTTATGAGATATTTATTTTTCATGAATACTCTAATCTCGGCGTATATGGTTTACCTTTGACCGAATTGGAGAAATAATTAGTCAAAATACACGTAAGCTGACCGGACACCCTTGACCATTGAACTAAAATAAAATTTAATCTATCAACTATCAATTTTATTTCCATTATGTCCTTCCATCTATTTTCACAATTGGATCAACATTCAAATAAATCATATTGAGATAGTCTTTGGTTGATCTAAAGATGGAAATAAGTGAAAAGATTTAATTGAAATGAAATTGATAGTAGAATGATTAAATTGAGACAATTAAAAATTTAAGAATTAAATTAAAAGTGAAAGTAAAATTCAAACCAATTATGAACACCTCTAAAGCATTGTAACTGAGGTTAGCAGTTTGACAAATAATCATACTCTTTGAAGTTGAATCTTAAAGTTGCGTGAATTTTGTCTGTCTCCTCTCTATAATCTCCCTATAATAGTGCTGGCCCAAAAAAAAAATCATCACTGTCGATAGTGTGGTGTCACTATCATCGACTATTAGCACAATTAATATCGTGGATCGGTGGATTTTGGGTAAAAATTTTCTGAACTCTTGTCTAATACTGCCTTAAACAATAGTTCAACCCTTAGAGGCAAACCGTAAGAACGACCAACTATAAATTCGAGTTTAAATTTTGATAATTTTTTGGGTCAGACTATTCCTTAATTTTTTTAATTTTGACTTTTTTATTTTTGATCGGATCGATGAAAAAATTAGTCAATGTACATATAAATTGATTCGAATAACTCTAACCGTTGAAAAAAATAAAACCAGTTCAACCTAAAAAAAACTCTCATGATAAGCTTCAAAATTTCATGATTTTGATATGCAAATTAATCAAATTATACAAATTTCATTAATCATCTGTGGTGGGTCACACAACTCATTTCTGAACCTTCACTGTGGATGGCTTTCCCAACAGCACCTATAAAAACCATTTTGTGTCAATTAATTTTTTGTTTTTTTATTATGAGTTCTTTTCATATCTAATCTAGATATTTTTTAATATTAGTTTGCTCAATTTCTTTTTCCATTGATGAAGCCCATTTATGTAATAAGAAGTATATGAATTTATTATAATAGTCCTTTTCAAAAAAATAGATTTATTGTAATAGTTGATTTATTGAGATGAGAAATTAAAAAATATATTAAAAGATCTGACTCCATCTGACAAAAAAAAAAAACTACTGGTATTCATAATTGGTCACTAATTGCAAAAAATCAATTAAAAATTTGTAGTCGAGTTATCTTCGATCTTGACTCAAATTTGAGTCAATACTTAAATAAAAACTTAATTTAATGCAAAATATTTTAATGAAAAATTTAAATTTAACCTCAATGAATAGTTTAAGTGATAATAGAAATAAATTGTAAATTCAGACATCCTGAATTTGAATCTTGACAACCTCTCGAGGCCAAACCATGAGAGATTTATTTATTATAAATACTGTAGTCTTGACGTAAATGACTTGTCTTTGACCAGAATGAGGAGAAAATTAGTCGAAGTATACGTAAACTGCCCCGAACACCCTTGACAAATTTAAATAAGAACAAACTCAAACTTATGAATCGTTAAATGAAGATGCAATCTTTTTATTGGAGATTTCAATGACAATTTGAATATCCCTTATTTTGAGTGTAGACATATTTTTACTCAAACAACAATACTACGATTCTGCAAATTTTTTATTGAATATTGAATCCTAAATTAATGTAAAATATAGGATCAATAGGTTCCAAAAACTCTCACTAACCATCCTATGGCTATGAATGTAATACATCATTTGGGATCCAAAAACTTGATAAAAGTTTTGATGGATCCATCATTTCTCATATAAATTTGAATCAAAATTTATGTAAGAGTCTGAAATGTCTTAAAATGTGTCAAAATCTAACTCTATATAGCCTGTTTGGTTTGGTGAAAAAATGGGTGGATGAAAAAAGGGATCAAAACATTAACATGACATTTTCCTTTGTTTGGAACAAATGGTATGTTTGGTAACAATGATAGAAAAATAAGGGATGAAAATTATGCGGGATACATTTTTCATCATTCAAGGAAAAAAAACATATTTTTCTTCCTTTTGTTTGATACAAAGGATGAAAAATCAGGAGGAATTTTTTTACTTTTATTTTATGTGGTATGAGAAGATAAATGAATAAAAAAAATGACCATAATTGCCCTTCTATATATGACAGATATTTACTGTAATTTTCAAGAAACAAATAACTTTGTTGTGGACTCCACTAATATTTTTTCTCCTAATTTATGTTTTTAAAATCTGCAACTTTAAGGCTAAAATGGTAAATTTAAAGAACTTTTGCAGCAGCTGCCTTGTTTCGTCCAATTTTCGCCTATTTTTGAAGTGATTAAAAATAGTGCGCGTAAAGAAAAGGAAAAGTGGGTCCATTTTTGGAGTGATTAAAAATAGTGGGCGAAAAAAGGATACATATATTTTCCATCCACTTCCCCTTTTCTTTCCACCCACCATTTTTAATCACTTAAAAAATAGGCAAAAATTGGATGGAAGAAGGCACCTGCTGCAAAAGTTCTATAAAATTATCATTTCAGCCTTAAAGTGGCAGATTTTAAAAACAAAAACTATGAGAAAAAAGAAGTATACAGTCCACATATTTTGTCATTTTCTATGTACATGTGATTAGAGGGATCACAATAAAGTCATTTATTTCTTGAAAGTTACCGTAATATCTTCATATATAAAAGGTAACTATGGTAATTTTTTGGTTATTTATTTATACCACATGAAATAATAAAAAAATTATTGCTTTTATTTTTCCATTTTGTATAACAAATAGAAAGAAAGGAAAGTACAGAAAAATTTATCCCTTCGTAATTTTCTTTCCTTCTTTTTCTCGTAATTTTCATCATTATGTTTTTCATCCTAGATACCAAACAGACCGTACTACATTGATAAGGTTCGAATACATGGCCATTCACGTTGCTTCAGAGAAACTTCGTCCCCAATGATGACGGACATTATAAAAATTAAAAAGTCACATGTTGTTTTCAGAACCCTATTCTCTGCTCTATAAACCACACGATACGCATGCTTAACAGCCCCTTAGCATATTCGGAAAATCCAGTTGACTCAGCCGATCAGCGGAGTCAGAGCTCTGAACTCACCTGAAATATACATTCATATACATTTGAGCTCTGATTGACTCGGCTCTGGTCTCTCCATTGACCTAGGGTTTCTCGCTCTCACTTTGTCTCTCTGACGGACCAGACATGAGTCTCTCTGTGGTACAAGTACGTGCTATTAATTGTGTTTTCGTTATTTATGTATGTGCAAATTTGGATTTGTAGATTGATTAATGGCGCGAGTTTTTTGTTTGGTGAGAGTAGGGATTCACCAAGTCGCTTGCTATGACTGTGCTATCGGAGATCGGTGATAAGACGTTTTTTGCAGCTGCGGTTAGTGGATTGATTGTAGTTCAATCATTTATGTTTTATTAATTATTGTTTTTAGTTCGTTATTGTTTTTGATTCATTTGTGTTTAAATAATGCTTTTTCGTTCAGCTTGTTGATTTCACCTTTGATCTAATGAGGTCATAAATTTTGAAATTCGATTATACACGATGGAAGATGGAGCAATCAGTTTTTTTCTTTCTCTCTATCTCTGTTTTTAAATTATCCCGCTGGCATTGTTTGCTAGTAGGTTGTCTATTAAGAAGTAGAGTATAGCCTTTTATGGGATACGAATTAATTAATTTAGGTGCTGTTGCCAATAGCATGTGCATGCTGTATGCAGATGAGTATACTTATAACATTGTCTCTGTTGTGTTCGGTCAGAGGTACTCAGATGTACTTTTGACTCTGATTTGCAAAAATTTGGTCATTTTAGCGGATGGAAAATGGATTTTAATTTGGCATCTTCTCTCTGTGGATTCCTTTTTAATATTTAGATTAGTTTGGGAAGTCTGCCAGTCAATACGTTCCTAAACTTTGTCGTATTGAAAGTGGTTCAAACAAAAAAAAAATCGCATTACACAACAAATCTTTTCTTCTTTTCCTTCATTTTGATACGATAAAAGAGGAGCTACATCCTCCCTTTTAGGCATTTTTACCGCCTGATCGAACAAACAACATGCATAGTTGTATATTCCTCTGGTCACATCTTCAGCATACTTAAATACAAATGTATATGTGAAATGAGTTATTTCTTTCTTATTCTCCCTCGGAAGCACTATATCGATAGGCGATTGTCACCCTGATACCTACAATTTGTCGCTCATTTTCTCTTCTGTCGGAGGTCAAACTTTGGCTTACATCAAACTACTGTGATAGTCTTGTGCTTACTGGTATAAGGTCAAGAAAGTACTTTCCAGCATCAGAAAATTTAGTAAACGCCTCTCTCTATGTTGAAAAGAGTAAATTTGACTTATAAAGTGAGATATGGATTTGTGGATAAATTTCTTAGAGGCCAAGCTGGTTTGGGTGTGCTGTGCACTCAAGGAATTTTGGAAGAACGTGGCATGGTAGTATTTTCCATTGGCACAAAAAGGGAACTTCACTAGATTTGTCCCTGTATTGTCCCAAGCATCCCTGTTGTCAGGGAACAAAAGAGTTAGTTACATATGCAAGATGAGTTAGAGACCTCCAAAATAGTCTGGGCATAAGGAAGACACCATCCAAGCAAGCTAATGGTGGAGAAAATGAAAAGATCAAGCATATTTATCACTAATTTATTTCTGAAATTTTGAACCGGGACATTGCATGGAAACTAGTGCTTAGAAAAGCAGTTTCTATTCTTGATGGAGAAAATAATTGAAAGTGTAGTGTTGAGGGTACCTGTGGGATTCCACAAGGAAAATATGTTGTTGCAGATGAAAGCATGTGTAATGGCCTAGACCTTTTACAATTAAAAAGCCCCTTGTATACCTTAGCTTCTCTCCTCATATCACATGCTCCTTGGCTCCAATTTGAGCATCATACAGTTACTTATATTTAATTTTTCAGGTTTTATTGAAGTGGTTGTCGAAAATTACATTGAATCCTCCTCATGTACTAAATTAAATGTCACATGACATTGCTGTCTTTTTTTAATCTTATCCCATAGTGCTGAACATGGGTTAGTGTTGAATTTTTTCGAACTAGTTATTGATTATGCATTTTGACTATATTTAAGGTTCCATTTTATTATATGATTTTTTATCTAATAGTATCCATTTCTCTTGAATATATTTGCATTTTGTTTTTGAACAGAATCAGAACTCATACTGTCCTTTCTATTTGAACAACAATGTAAATAAGAGAAAGTGATTCCTTGTGCTTATTCAAAATTATAACTTTTTTTTTTTCCTTTTCTAGATCTTGGCAATGCGCCACCCTAGGAGACTTGTCTTGTCTGGATGTCTAGCAGCTTTGATTGTAAGTTTTGAATCTGCATCTTCTCCATTTATATTTAAGTTGGAAATGTTGTTTCATTTTGTATGAAACTACCAAAAACAGTTTCTGTGGAGACTGTAACAGTCAATGTTGCCATATCTTGGAATGTTAAATGTTTCGGGACGAAATTCCATTTTTTTCTCTGGTTCTGAATGTTTCCAAAACTTCTCCATGTCTGAGCTGACCAAAACAATGACCTGACACGAAATCACTGAAAATACCTGCTGAATTTTAGGTGATGACTATTCTATCTGTTCTTGTTGGCTGGGCTGCTCCAAATCTGGTAAGTTTGATTTACATTTGAATTTTTTCAAGGTTTTTATGCAGATGTATATTGAATTTTTGTTGTGCATTATATTGATCCTTATCAAGAAAACAATAAACCTCCCGTGCACAAATTTGTTTGAATGTAAGGATATAACGAGAAGCTTTAGAATATTGCCGGAAAACTGGTTTTTTTTTTTTTTTTGGCTTAGACATTCCTTCTTCCATCTTTTAGCATTCTGTTCTTTTGGTATATTAGGCTGAGTGAGAGACAACTTAATCATTGACCTTCTGTTGGGTCAATTGCCTTCATAACAGGTTGATGAAAATACCTATCAAGTAGTCCACTTCACTTGAATTTGCTCCAAAATTTGCACCATGGATGCACATGCATTATGGGTGCAGTAAATATTCTTGCCCCATGCCATTTACACAAACTTTGAGTAGTTGAATTGTTTGTCGAGTTCATTTGCATGTTTTATCATTGCGGCTCAAAGCCAGAAGATTGGAAAAACTTGAAGGTAGGTATTCTTTACCTTGTTCTACCCGTCTATGATTTCCACATATTCTCTTGACGGTAAGGATCCGGCTATTGGCATCAACTTTTGATGTGTCAATGGGATTATGCAACTCACACGATCAACTCTCGAGCAAAATCAGAACAGGAGAATAACCTACTCGCTGTGTTGATTAGATGTTAACACATTGATTGCAACATACTCATCATAACAACTCCTAAATATGTTGAGAAGCTATAGCTTATAAAGCAGGCACAGAAGCTTCATTCATTTGCTTTGTGGAAATGATGAGGATGCATAAGTAGCACTAATCAAAATTCTGAATTCTACTCCCTACTCTGGAATCTCAGGTTTGTGCAACACGTTAACCAAAGGCATTGAAGTAGTCCTCCTGTTTCAGAACTTACTAAGAGTTCTGTTGCAGGCAGAATTGGACCAAGTTACTTTTGAATGTTTTTGAAAGCAATTAGCATAAATGATGAATTTATCCTCCTATAATTTGAGGCTTAAGCTGTAAGTTGTTGATTCTTAAGGTGTAGATTGTTGCAATAATTACATGTTGAAATCCCTGACAATAGAAGCAGCATATTTGGGTTTTAAATATAAAAAGATGTGAACCAGTGTTCGTTTCCGGTTAAAGTGAGGTAGAAAACTGATGCAATACCTTGTGAACTAATTCAACAATTTACACTTCATAAAAAATGGACCAACACGATGTAAGTGATATGGAAACGGAGAAAACAATAACATTAAATTTGAGTATCTAAACTCCATCTAGACACTAGAGGAGTATATTGGCATAGTTAAGCAAAGAAATCAGTTAGCTATCCATTCTATATGATAGTATACGTATAAATTGGAAAAGAATGATTAAATATGAAAAACTATTAATCTCTAAAAAATTTAATTTCATGTTAGAGCTAGGCACCATATGTAAATGGTTACTGACTTACTGTTATGTCACATAGTTATGGTATAAGAATAGATGTATACATGATCTTTGGCATTATATTGCAAAAAGGATACTCTCATGCTTGAACCAAGTGCCCACACTTTTTCGCATGAGCTTTTACATTCTGTATATAATTCTAAGGAATGACCTTAAATTTTCATATTGTTTAGGCCAGAATATCGTTCGCTGTTTTTTTTTATTTTTTCCCTGTTGTCATCAGTGAATAACTGCAGCTGCAAATTATGCAGATTTCTCGTAAATGGACTCATCACGTAACAACTTTATTGTTTTTTGGCTTCGGGCTATGGTCCCTGTGGGATGCATTTAATGAAGGGTAGTATTTTATTTTTCTGTCACTGTTCCTGCTTTTGCCATATCTGTCTAGAATCAGTTCTCAATGGATCATCATCTTGTAATAGAATTTAGTTTGCTAGTAATGGAGTCTGTTTCTGTTTCACTCAACAGGGAGGCTGAAGAACTGGCTGAAGTTGAAGCAAAGCTGGTTTGTTTTCTTTCCCCTTCGTAAGTTACCTCATATTGACCTTAAGTTTCTTCTTCTTGAACCTTTTTGTTGACACTAGGATGCAGATCTGAAAGCTAGTACTGGAACAACCAAAGAGAATAACAAGGTGAGGCGAAAAAAATACCAGCCTTTTGCATGAACTGTCGTGATATCCAGTTGCTCTTTTGACCTGTCAGTCATGACTTGCTCTTTTGAAGTGTAAGATGAGCTATTTCTGAGGATTTGAATTTGTTGCATAGTTGGTGACATGCTAAATGACCATAGGTTGACCATTTGGGCATTTTCTATATCACATTTTCTGATGTAGTGAAATCTTGCTTGAGCTTTCTGTATAAATTATTGTTCATTAGCTATAAGGACTTCCTAATAGCTACTTCTGGAAAATAAAAATAAAAAATTTACCTAGTTCCTGATAGCTAGAGAGAAATTGGTAGCTCTATTACTGATGGAGAATTCTTAAAGTGAGTGCTGATATTCTCCTCTAGAGCTGCTGAAGTCTTATCAAAGTTGTGGCTTTAGTTGAATACTTCACCATATGTTGCACTTCAAGGGACTTGATTCAAAATCTGTGTAAGCACTGTAGTTTTACTTATTTATTGGGGATGTGCAAGTGTCAATGTGTAAGTTCTTTAATTTTTTGTGTCTTCGATGAAGTTAAGTGAGGAATATATAGTCATAAATAATTCCTGGGAGCAATTTATCTACGTCTATATATTGATTCTTTTGTAACCCCAGAGGCATCATCATTCATGTCTCTAGGCTGCAATCTATTTTGCATCTTTGATTGCCCTAGCAGGGTGCAGATTCTTCAGCCAAGAGAATCCAACATTATGGATTTTTTTGTGGAAAATATATTCCTTAATGTTGTTTCATAGGTCATGTCCCTTAGCTTGCTTAGATCTTCATGGATGCTTACTCTTTTTCTCACTGTTTTTCTTGAGTCCACCTTCTTTGTCTCAAATTAATTTTATCTTTACCATGTCTGCTTCCTTCTGTACTGGTTTCTCACAGATTAATAACTTTCGATAAAGTGTAAACTTAGAAAATTCAATTGACATATAGAACTTTATAGATCAGCATCCGATCAATATTTTTGGGAATACATTCAGAAAATCCTTTTTGACGCATTACTTGTTTGGTATCAAGTCTCCTGATCAATCTATGCATGTCATGAAAATTAGGTTTTGTCTCATTAAGAGAGAACCCTTTACAAACATTTAGTAAGGCACAAGGGAATGGAAGCTAAGAAAAATCAACTTGCAATTTAAGTCCATTATTCCTGAATTCCATCTTACCAGAAGATCAAAGAAATGCATGAAAAATATGGCATCAATCTTTTTCAGCTCCCTCATGGACAAAGTATGTGCTCAATTTTGTGGAGCCCTTCATAAATTCATAACGGATTGTCTTTATTGTCCAATGAGGTTTTGGGTATCAGATGTATATGTTCTTGCAAGATAACTGATTTTTTTTGTTTTGTTTTGAGCTATTCTCATATATGACACTCTTCCAGGTGGATGATGATTTGAAAAAGCAGAGGCGACCTGTAATCACTCAGTTCTTCTCACCCATCTTTCTGAAGGTTCTAATTCCTACAGTATTTTTCATTCTGATTCTACAAAGCTAACATGTGACAAGTAAATATTTAATTAGGTATATCATGCCCATTCTGCAGGCATTTTCCATTACGTTCTTTGGTGAATGGGGAGACAAGAGCCAGGTAGGCATTCAAAAAGGGATGGCATATATCTAGGTTACACCATCACTGTTTCTTTACTTTTATTTGACACCAAGTGTAACTACCTTTGGCAGCTAGCTACCATTGGTTTGGCTGCAGATGAGAATCCGTTTGGTGTTGTTCTTGGTGGAATTTTGTAAGTTGAACTCTCCCTCCATCTGCTTGTTGAACTCTCTCCCGTATGGTGGAATAATTCTTCTGCCACATGCTCATATGGCAAGAACTAGATAGGGTGGCCCTTCCACCAGGAACAAATCCAGGAATATCTGTTCCCTATATTTCTTGGGTTCTTTCATGGGTTTGACATTTCCAAATGTATTGATTGCACATGCTCAGACCGTATAAATATTGGGCCCTTCCAATTTTGGGATGGTGCCTCAAATGTTGAATGCATAAATATTTCCTTATCTGCTTCCATCTCTTCGTTGAAACAAATATCTTGCTGTGGTCTGTCGTCTGGATCCTGGACAGTGCGCATGTCCACGCATTACAAATGAGTTCAAATTGGTTATGTCTATCACAATAACCTTCTCTGCATGACTATCAAACAGCGTTTTGCTCTATGTTTCTAAATAGTAAGAATGACCTTCTTTCTTGTCAAAATCTCATGTTAGTATGCTGTGTGCTCGTGGTTGCTCTATATTTTTCTAACTGCTGTGTAGTAGGAATCTGAATTTGCGACCTCATGGAGGTGCTTTTCCAAATAATCTAAACATGCCCCTGCTATGTCTCTTAAGTGCAATTATATAGTAAATAGCCCAAGGATGAAAATACCTTAGTTTCCAACCACAAAAATCTAGATTTTTATACATAAATGTCTTTCAAGCTAGGATATCCTTATGCAAGGTTTAGAAAGACCACAAAGATGAGTGCTTGTTATTGTATGCTTCCTGATTAACATCCGATGTTACAATGCTATATGCTAAATCAAGCGATCCCAGAGATAAGTTCATGGCAGCATTATGTGTGTGTGTGTGCGTGTATATATATTTCTAATGATATTGCCTTTCTGCAGGTAGTGAAACAGCGTTCATTTGATTTTTTTTCCCCCCTGATAAATAATGTTTGAATTCTGTATACCTTCGCAGAGGACAAGCTTTGTGCACGACTGCTGCAGTCTTGGGAGGAAAGAGCTTGGCAGCTCAGATATCTGAGAGAGTGGTAATTAATTGCAATTTCATTTGCTTTTTGCTTGTCACTTCATGCATAATCTATTCATATTTTTTATATATTTACCTATACACAGTGTGAATTTGTGATAGTGAGGTTGTATTGATGCAGGTTGCACTGTCAGGTGGAATTCTTTTCATCATAGTTTACTGTCAGGTGGAATTCTTTTCATTGTTTTTGGGATCCAGTCCTTCCTTTCTACAGTTGAATCATGATGTAGCATTGCTAATGGTTAGTATTTACCATCAATGCATTCATGAAACAGATCTTTAATATGAATATTATTGCAAGTACGATCCCACAGGTGTAATTTATTAAATTGCCAAGGGTAGGATCTCCGTTTTGTAGGATGTCTCTCTCTCCCCCTCTCATAGTTTACTGTGTATATGTGGACATGCACACCCACAGCTTACTCTTTCTCCTCATCTCCAAAATAAGTCTCATTTCGAACCACTTTTAAATAAGCCACCATCTTATGTTCATCTATGCGTTTTTGGTTGTCTTTGCTATGCGCAGACACTCAAAGCACATCGGGATAAATTTTCACCGCGTGCCACCAAATATGTCTTCCTAGGTTACCCTAGCTCACACGAAGCCTATAGTGTCTATGATCTTGATTCTAACCAATTTTTTTTTTGTAGAAAATGATCTTTCCTTTTTCCACTCTGCCACATCCTCCCGCCCTTCCACTTCCTGATGCGTGCTAAATGCAAGAGCATGCACACAAATGCCCTCGACCATGAACATAAATATACACCACTGGATACTTCCTGTTGCTGGATTATATCTCTTTTTCCTTTTTGTGGTTGCATGCAGAGAAAAGGAAGATGACTATTTTCCCTTGCAGAACAGCGTACGACTTTTGACATGCTGAAATTTCTCTTCCATTTGTTTCATCGAAGGTTTTTATAATTGTGCTAAAGAGCCAATCAGATAATCGGAAATAACTGATTCAAAGAGACGTAGTGTTATCTAATATGGTCAAGGTTATCCCACCTTGTTGGTAACTTCTGCCATGGGTGATGGTTTTTTGCTCCTTTTCCCTCTACTTCTTGTATCATGGTAGTTTTTGTTCTGTACTTCTACATATTGTTTTTTTCAACTGGACAAGATAGTATGTTGCTCCATTCCATGAGCTAGATCTGCCATTTTTTGTGACATTTTACGGTTACATAAAGCCTTATTCCTATCGTACCACGTCGAATTGTTGAGTACATTAAGCAGGAGAAAAGATGAATCCTTGAACAATTATGTTGATAATGATTGCTAGATCAAGTGGTTGCCTGCTCTTTTACCCGGTTGATTCGATCGCATCCTTGTCAAGGATTCAGCTGTGGGTGTTTATTTTTCTTTGCCATTTACCAAAAAGATGAGGGGTGGTGATTGGAACCAGCACGAGGAAGTGCCACTGGACATGTAGGTTGTGTTTGACTTTACTTCTCATTATAAAAGTCCATCTCATTGATGGACTTTTAAAAAATACAGAATTTGATGAATATTTATTGAGAGTGCTAATCAAGAAGTGCATTCATTTTGTCTGTTCTCTTTTGGGATATTTTTAATTAGGAAGAATTACATTTAAACTTTTTGAAGTTTATCACTCAATAACTTAGATTTTTTAACATTTAAAATATTATACATAAGCCCATTGAGTGAGTTTTATACGTACGAAACATTTAAATCTATGTCGTCAATGTTAGACTCTATGAAGTTTTTAGGTATATAACACTTAAATTCTTCAAATTTAAAATATTACATTTAGATTACTTATTAGTTATAGAACTAACGAAATTTATTAAACGATCAAATTATTGCAATTAAAGATAGAAGATATTATATTTATTATAATTTAATCCCTTGTTTATTTTTTAGATTTATTCCAATAGTCAGTATAATTATATATTAATCATGATTTTTTTAAAGAAAAAATTGAATTTTTATTTTGGATTTTATTTTAATAAATGACATAATATAATATGAATTTTTAGTTGTAAAATTTAAAATATTTAATATTCTATCTTTTGATTGAAATATTTTTAGTCTAAGTATAATATTTTAAACTTGAAGAATCTAATTATTACATGCTTAAAAATTTTATGGGATCTGAGTCTAATTTATTAACGGATATAGACAACAAGACTCTAAAATGCGTACAGACTTTATGGGACATATGTGTAACATTTTAAATATTAAAGATTTAAGTGATTAAGTGGCAAATCTCATGAAGTGTTAATGTAATTCTCTTGTAATTAGTAAGAATTTCTTTCGTTTACTGCATCCATTTGAATATAATTACGTTTGGTGGTAATATATTGTAAAGTGTAAAAATTTCATATACTTCGACAATATTATCCTCTACTTTATAATACATGTAATAATTTACTTTAAATTTACATTTATATAATGTATTTAAACATATTATTAAAATAAAACAAACAAATTACATGATACTATGCAAGGAAGCACCTAACACCGTGGTCATTTCTTCTCTGTTCTTCATCTCTTTCTCTCTCAGATCTTCTATGAACAATGCTTGCATTCAAAAAATAATCTAGTTTTTTTTTTATGTAATTTAGTATTTCAATTAAAGTGTTGATTTCAATTTTTAAAACTTCATTGAGAGAGAGGTGTGAGCTAGAGTTTTTTTGGGGCAGAAATTAAGTTTTTATATTTTATACTAGGGTTCTTATTTTATAGATTTTATTGGACTTAACCAAATGAAGAGTAACGGCTAGATATTAATTCGGGTCTTATCTAAACCTCAAAAAAAGGAAAAAAAAATGGGCTTAATATATTTAAGGGCTAAAATTTTTGAGGCCCCTCTAAAATTGGAGGCACTAAGCAGCCACCTTAGTGGCCTATAGCTAGGTCCGGCCGTGAGTCATAATTCCGTCACCACTAATAGATCATTGTAGTACTAACGTATCAGATTAATGTTGGACCTTGTGTAAAATCACCTCTCCACACAAAGAGATAAATTTATAAACAATGGCCCTAAAGGACTACGTTTTATGAAATATTCAAACTCTTGACCCTACCTCTCATAAGAGATTTATGACACTAAGTTAACCCCTCGGGAGTTAGGTCTCTTCTTTTACTACGAACTAAATGGAGTTTTTGTTTCCATTTCCACTTTTCTCTGTTTCTCTTTTATCTGGTTTCACTTGATTTTGATTTTGTTTCTTTTATCTGATGATTTTCTGAACTTATATTCACATGCAGTATGTGTTTACATCATGTAGGGCAGGATCTGTATATTATGTATTTTATTAGGTTGGAGCTACTCTCACCCCTCGAATCTCCGTTTCCTCCCCATTTTATCCTCTTACTTTAAACTACTAAATCCAACTCATATATATTCACCACGGCAGTTACTAAACTCACTCCGTCTATATTCCCTAATTAAAAATTAAATTCATTCAATTTTATTTCAACCTACTATATAGGCAATAATTAAAATTTTATTTCGGTGTATTATTTTGACACAAAAATATTTCAAAAATAGAATAAAAATAATAATAAATTACTTTTAAAATATTAGGAAAAATAAACCAAAATATTTTGAAGGCATTGGTAAAAATATGTCAAAATATCTCAAAACACTTCAAAATATTCTAGATCACCTCGTATAATTAAAATTTTGCTTCAATTACTATATTTGTTTCGATTTCTTTGAAATATATATTTAATAGTTTAATTGAATAAATATAAATGGGATGAACATAAACAGAGTAAACTTAATAGTTTAAAATAAGAGCATCTCGGAGATTTAAGGAGTGAAAATAGTTTCACCTATTTTATTATAGAGTTAAAAAATATATTAAATTACAAAACCTAAGAATAACATTAAAATTCAAATTTCATGAATCCTAATAATAAAATTGCTATTCAGACAATTGCCCCTATAATAGCATTGCTATTCAGACAATTGCGAACTGTTTGGTGAGACGATACTTTTGCCTACCTCCACAGAAACGCTTCCAGTGAATGAATGCAAAATCCAGAAAAGCTAGCAATTTTAGATTATGCAAATAATACTTTTTGACTTCTCCCCCAACTCAGTTTTTACGGAGATTCATGAAATCTGAGTTCTAATGTTATTCTTAGATTTTATAAACTAATATATTTTTTAGAACAATGATATTAAGATTTAATTTACTGAACTAATTTACTATAACTTTTAAATTAACTCTAGGTCTTATCAAATATTAAAACTTAGTGTTAATCCAATAGTTCTACTAAAGCTAAAATTACATTATTAAATCAGTAAATTAGGTCAAATTTTTAAATTCAAATAACATTATTCTTGTTTAAATGGACTTTTGGTTTTCAAAAGTCCGTTGGGTCAAACGGACTCGACTCATCTACAGTCGGAAGACTAACCACACAGTTTGCCGTTGCTATACAACGTCATTCTGATGCCTTTTTCCTTGTCTCTCTCTGTCTCTCTCTCTCTTCCTTTTTTTTTTTCCACCTGAGATCAACCTCATTAAACGGTGCCATTTTGCTTCAGATAATTTCAGACGTGATACCCCTGCCTCTTCTTCACCATTTTCACTTCCCGTAGAGCTGGACGTTCAAATCACAAACATTGGACCTATAATCTTGGATCTTCACTTTCTGGTAGACTGATTAGGGCATGGTAGCATGAAACCATTCCATGACAGTTTGACAGTTGGATCTTCAGTTTGAAGGGGATGGAAACCGAAGTTAGGGTTAGGGTTAGGGTTTATCAATGGGGATGGAAAATGACGAGGAAGAGACATCCAGCCACTTATTTATCTGGGAAGCAAAACGACACCGTTTAATGATGTTAGTTAACAAGAAGGAAAAAGACGTTTACGCTATATAACTTAATCGCAAACTGTGCGATTAGTCTTCTAACCGTAGATGAGTCGGACCCTACGCCAAACACAATTACATTACTACCAAGCTTCTATAACGTTTTAACTCTCGTTATAGTGCCTGACCAACAACAAAAAAACCTCTCCACATAGTACATAATCTTGTAACTTCATCAACCACCACTACCACTCTCAATGTTGTCGATACAAGAAATCCAAGAGGCAAACTAAATAAAACTGAATCTTAAGTGCTGAATATTGAATTTTTTAATCATCAAGTTGTTTGGTATCTAACAAAAACAAATTGATAAATGCAAGAAATAGAAGTACAAAAATTATTATTATTTTAATTTTATCATTTTCTTTTTCTCACCGCATCTGTCTTATTCCTACCACCACAATCACTATTATTTCACAATCACCACCACTCTCAATGTTGTCGATACATCCACCAACACCACTGCCTCTATTACCGGTTGTCACCTACTCTACTACTATCGTTGTTAGCATCCATCAACCATCACTAACACCACAACCACCCCCCACCACTCATTATCACCATCTTTACAACTTGACCAACCAACACAACTATTACCTTTACAATCTACCACCTCCATGTGGCCATCGTTACTACCACCATGGTGGTTAGGGTAGGGTAATAGTGGTTAGACCGATGGTGATGGTGGTAATGGTAAGACTGGTGGTAGTGGTGGTTAGGGCAGGGCCAAACAACTTATGTACGCTTGTACTGCTTTAGAGAGAATCTTATCCACATGCACACCAACCACTTGAAGGTTCACAGAATTCCATTGCCCCTTAGCTTCTTGCAGTGCTCTTCAGCATCAACTTGAGCTGATATTATAGTGACCACTAGCAGCCCAGTGTACTGGGCCTACGATTAGGGCTAATAATTGAACGAGCTCAAGCTCGAACTCAAGCCGAGTCTAACGAGCTTTAAACATTGTTAAAGTTCAGCTCATTTAAAAAAACAAACTAAACATGAACGAGCTCAAAAAAATTATTTCAAGTTCGACTCTGTTAAAAAACGAGTCGAGCCTAAATGAGCTTAAAACGAGCGAAACCCAAACCGAGCTCAAGCAACTCTGTTCAATTATCAGGCTTACCGACGATCATTTCAGGGATCACCTTCCTTCATTATGAATTTCGGTTTGTTGAAGTTGTCTTTGGGTAATAAAACATGGGGAAATTCTAAAGTACCGGGAAAAAAAAATCGGTATCGTACCAAAAGTAACAGCAAGGTTACACATTTGAAATGTAAAATTACAATTGTTTGAGGGAAGTACCCATACAATTGGTATCGGAACCGTAGACTTTCCCTAAAACACAATAAGGCAGAGCAATTATTCTTGACTTCTGAATAATTCGGAGTGGTTTCAAATATTGCTGTAAGATAATAGATGCAAATGAGATGTCATTCAATCAATCATATAAAGAACTTGTTCAAACAGTTGAGATCAAAATCACATATTACTTAAATGCTATTTACTTTTTCCCCCTATTTGTTGTGTCACCACACTAAGATAAATGTGATTCTTAGTCAAATATACAAAGAAGAAAGGACTTATTAGCAAACAAATGACAGTTTTAAAAATAAGTTTACTTTAAAGTTGCATAATTTAAGAATAGAGAGAGTGGCATGTGCACAGCACAAAAAATTCAACACTTATAGATAGAGCTGATAATTAAGTCGGGCTCGTTTTTCTAAACGAGCTTAAATGTTTAAAAATGAGTTAAACCTAAAATGAGCCGAACCCGAGTAACTTGACTATCTTACATATAAACGAGTCAAACTTTGCGAGCTCAAGTTGTGTATTCTAGGCTCATTTTCTAAACAAACCTAAAAAATTGTTAAAACGAGCTGTGAGCTTGAATCGAGTCCTCTATATGAGCCGAGCCTGAGTAGCTCAACTCAATTATTATCCCTAGAGTCAAGCTCCTCGGGCTCAGCTCGAATTCGACTCATGTAAAGCTCACCTCAAGTTGGACTTGTTTTAAACGAGTTGAGTTTAAACAATTTTTTTGGCGAGTTTAACAAAACAAGTTTGACAAGTTCGACTCGAACTCGCAAAATTTGACTCGATTATCAACCGTACTTATGGGAGTTTAAAAGTATATGAAGCAAGAGTATGAAGATAAGGTAAATCTAGAATTAAACAGCAGCATTCGGATAAATTCAACATCAAACTCACAATTCACAAGACTAGGAAAGGTAGGGTCAGGAATATATGGATTTCCTCTTCCAAGGTGTTCTCAGACCTCCAATTTCTTCTAAATTTTGCTCATTCCAGCGAGCAAAAACTGTTTCAACTGTTTAATATGTATCACAACTAAACCTTCAGATAGTCACACTCAATTAATATCTTCAATTGCAGCTGTAGGAATGTACCATTCAAGATAGTTTTGCTTATCAAACAAAATAAACCAATATCTAGATGAATGCTACATTCACTTATGTCCTGCCTCACATGCTTGTTGCATAATCAGATTCTATAACAATAATAGCATTGAGACCAATTCACATTTCACATGCCAATCTCAAAACATGACGCAGTATCCATAAATTTGTGATTGCACACACATAAAATATGAATTAACGCAACAATCAGGAAATCAATAGGTTTTTTTTCACTTCGTGTACCTCATCAACTCATACTCTAAATCACGGCCAGGAGTGGTTTTCTATAAGAATAGTCTATCCAATAATCCACCACCTTCTCCTTGGCGTGTAGCAGATAAATTCATAAGAATGCTACGATTGGTGGATGGTCCTTTACAGAGAGGGTCTTTATCCCGTCATCCATGCTATCAATTTATAAGCATTCATCAGGGTTACTCTCTGCCAGTATATAAATCTTCCTCCATTAATAAACCAGAGAAGAGGGCACTGGCTCACCAGTAAAGCAAGAATGCGGCCAAATCCAAGACAACACGGCACTTCATGCATTTAATGGTTAATAGCCGCAAACTAACTGAGCTATTCATGAACAGCTAGAACCCAGCTGGCATGCAGCTTACTCAAAGCGCATTCGTTTAACAAATGAGTCGAGCTCGAGCTTATCTGTAAGGCATCTAATCTCTAGACAACACGGATTTGGCATCTTTTGTACAATAAAATTTATTTCATGACTACTTCCGTGTCATGTGTTATATTGCTTTGGTGGCCCAAGCATACATGCTGGATTTGTCTATGAGCATAAGCGAGTGTTTCTTAGAGTACGACAAGCACATTAATGTCTCGCATGTCAGTTACTAGCCTTAAACTTCAACTTTCAAATTTTTGAATGGAATGTTCACTATTAACAAATTAAATGGTTAATGCCCGAATTCAAACAATAAATGTACATGTTGCCTAACACAAGCTTGCTAGCAGCTCAAAAATTCAACGAGTGACTGCCAAATCGAGTTCAAACACAGATCCTTTGGCTCAACCCAATCTCGAGGCAAGCTTGAGCTTTCTCATAGTTTTGGAGCCAAGCTAGAAAAGGCTCAAACTTGGCTAGGCCCAGGGTGATCTTTATGGAGCGAAATTGATTATCAAAGTAGGAGGATTATGGTTATTTTGTTTTCGAACTAAGTTGTATCATACAAGCTCAATCTTCACTTCTCTAAAGATCATCTTTACTGAATTGATATCTACATCAATGTTTGTAAGCTTGCATGACTTTTTTTCTTGCTGGCAAAAATATGACTTCAAAATTGAAACTACTACCATTCAATTAGTGCAAACAGTCGATAAAAGGCTACTTATAAAGACAGAAATTCACTTGACTCAAAATAAGATATATGGAGCAGTACAATCCATGTCTAGCAAATACAGGAAAATCAAACTACCATTTGACTCACAAAACTCAATAAAAACATTAGTAAAATGATGACCATCAAACCAACTAAGGAAAAGGAAATCCATTTCAACATAAAACTTAATCACACGAAGTCCCCATAAAGATCCATACGAGATTGCCAAGTTGCTCCTTTCTTATGTGGTTGCCCTGAACTAAGGAGAAGGAGGAGGAGGTGATGAAGGCGGAGGTGGAGACAAAGGCGGGGAATAAGGGGGCAAAGGCGGAGGCGGCGAATGAGGATGTGGAGGCAGAAATGAAAAATGAGAGGGTGGAGTTGGGGGTGGCAAATGAGGAGGTGGTGGCGGAGGCGGAGGTGGCGAATAAGGAGGCAGCAGTGGTGAATAAGGAGGTGGCAGATAAGGAAGCGGAGGTGGCATGGGGAAGTTTGAAAAAAATGGACTAGCATAAAGCATTTCGTTTGTTGCTCCATACATTGATGGGTTGGATCCTGCATCATAGGAGAACACTGATGGAAGAGATGGAATAAGAGGAGAATGGGGGACACAGAGAGAGGAATCCCCCTCATAAGTAGTCACCTTTTGATGAGAACTTATGTGACAGCCACAAACGGCACAGAACAGAGTTTGATGGTTTCCTTCACCACCTCCTTGCACAAATTCATTGCAACCATCTGCAACAGCAAGACCAATAGAAGTTGTGCGAGGCCGCTTACAATCATTGTCCTTGAGAACCATCTCTGGGTCCTCGTCGGATTGTTGATTGTTCAAGACTTGATCTGCCATTGTTTTGCTAGAGAAAGAGAGAAGGCTTCACAAACTCACAGGCATTCTAGCCTACAAAGGTCTTTTTATACTGGCGGAGCGTTACTCTTGTCACTACTATCATCAAGAGGTTCTACAAGGGTGGGTGTCAATGTAAGTCTTCAAGTAAGGACTCATAACTTTGAAAGAAATTACATAAATCTGGAGTTAATGTTACCCCTCAACCGAAATTGACCGTATTGACTCAAGTGAAAGAGAACATAAATACCATATGACCACTTTTCCTTTCTCCGGGTCGTGCCCCCTACGTCAAAGCCGGACCCTGGCATGTCAATCTAGGAAGCACGGATATACGGATATGGGATACGAGGACGCTATGTTACTGACATAAGACTGGTTAATGGTATTTTAAATTCAATTCGATGTAATTCTAAAACTAAAGACAAGTCACCCTTCGAGAGACCTCAATTTTTACTTAACATTTAATTGTAATTGATTTCATTGGCTTTCACATAAGACATAAAACATAGTATTCAAGCCGACCAAACCTTAAAAATTTAACAAATCTTTTGATATATTTGATGTACGTCCAAATGAACATCTTGAAACGAGGAATCCCCATTCATATGATTCACAATTTCTAAACATCCGACTTCACTAAGTATAAGACAAATGCATTCACCGCCGAGATACCGGCATCCAAAGTGTACCAGACAAGTATCCAACAATGATAAATATTCGGTATATATCAAATACGAAAACCCCATCCCGATCGAAATATCCGTTTTTCATAGATGTCAACACCTATGCTCTTAAAAGCACCGAACAAATTCTTTTGAACCACATCATATCCCGACTTGGTAGGTACATTATTAACTTCCTATTAAATTCATAGTAATCTATCAAGATTACGTTGCATAACAAACGGATGGTTCGGAAAGCAAATTGAATAAGCCAAGTCAAGTTCTAGCCAAGCCGTTACTGCCTACCATTCATAACATTCATTGATTGTAATCTACCCAGATTATGCAAGCGTGCTTTTCTGATAAACCAATTCTGAGCCCACAGTTTTAGTATCCCACTAGGAAGACGTATAGCCTAGGCCTAGTCAAGTTTTAGCCAAACCAAGATTGCCTAGATTTTACATTGTCGTGTCAAAAGTAGAAGGACAGGTCAAGTTCCCCAACCCAATGCCACCCAAAAAATTTAGGAGGAAAAAAAACACAAATCTTGAAAATCACAGCAAACAATTTTTCACATCACTCAAGTTGCTTTGCATTTCTAAAATTTAAATTTTCTGCACTTAAAGTTCTTAAAATATTTGTTCTTTCTTTAAAGGCTCCACATATATCTACCCACTAAATGCAAATTTCTTCCCTTAAAAAAACACCACGAAATCCCACCCTCCCCTTCCCATCCACAAACCTCCAAGAGGTCATACAATTAAAGCATTCTCTAAAACAATTTATAAACTGATAGTTGAGTTAGATATTTTGAACTACAAATTGCATAGAATGAATTGAATGAAACATAATTTATGTTGTTATTTGTTGTAGCTATCCGGTCACTTTATAAATAAACTTCTAAATATGTACAATTTTCAACAATTTCGTACACTAAAAAATTAAAAAGTAAAAGTATTAAAAAAGATTGCTTCAATACTACTAGATTTCATAATGATAATGAGTTTATTTCCTTTTATCCAGCTTAAGTTACCTTATAAACAGTACAAGTTTTAATGCAAGAAACTTTTTTCTTGCCCCTGAAAGAAGTAAATCGAAGGTCTACCATTGAGTATGTTGGCTTGAATGTAGCTTGCTTTGACCTTAGCCTAAATTAAACAAATGCTACAATGAAGTGCTTATAATATTGGCAAAATGGGAATAGAAAGAGCATGATGTGAAACTGGCCTTTGAATTTCGTCTTATGAAACAACATATAGCATTATTGTGTAATCATCTTTCATTCAAATAGAACCACTATTTCAGATCGGTATGTACAAAATACCAATTCTATCTGAGTGTTAAATTGTTAATGCCTATCCATCTAGTGGTTGACATGGTTGGTCCTACGCAAAGGCCACTAAGGCGAGTAGGTCATCGCCTAGGGGCCCCCACATAGAGGAAAATATGAGGCCCCCAAATAAAAATGTAAAGATTGCTTAAAATAAATTTTAGGGACGCCTAATTTTAACCTTTTTTTTTAGCTTCACCTAATTTGTATATAGATATAGAAAATATAAACTACCTTTTCACATAATACTTTTGATGTCTTAGGATCATAATCATTTGATTAATTATCAATCACTTACTTTCTTTGGTTAAATTCAAGACTCTTTTTTATTTTGGTTGGATTTTCTACTTAACTAACTAATTATAACCATAGTTGTTTTGCTAAATTTTCTTGCTTAAACATGAGACTTCTCAGCAATCTTCAATCATGTCATGCTTATCCTAGGAATTTCAGCCTACACAAGTTCCTACTTATATTTGTTGTTTGAAAAATTATTTAGCTACCAAAAATAAATTTTTAATTTTCTCGATCAATATCTTCAACTGATAACATACTTAGTACATTTGATTTTTCGAATCCAATCAGTGGAGTTTTCATATGCAAAACTTGAATGCAAATGCAATTCTGCTTCTCAGAAAACAAAACATTTCGCCTAAGGCCCCTATTTAAATCAGGTCACCCCTATTGGTTGAGTACATTTTCTAGCTTTAACTATAAAAATTTCTGCAAAGCAATTAACAATCAGCCAATTATGAAGACTTCATTCTAAATACAAAACAATCTAACTACATTCATGAGAGTATGTAAATTACATTCACCCACCAAATAACAACTGCAAGATCCATTGTTTTTCCTCTTATTCTCACATGCTTCCAAACTCAAATCAAGTACTTATGGTCCTCTACATCATGCATAGCAAGAGAATAACTGGCACCAAGTTGCTACACATTTTAATTTTGCCTTTTTTGCAATCTTACCTATTTTTCCTTATACCAGAAGACGCCACACACGTGGCCACGCGCTATCCACGGTTTACATGCATCTTACACAGTATGCATCCTATACAGAAAGGAATTAGGTGGCATACCAATTACCAAAACTGCTTGACATACCAAACACAACCAATTTATACAATAGAGTAGATCAAAACACATGCGATTAACTTAATAACTTAATAACTTAAAAAGGAAATAAAACTCATTATCATTATGAAATCTAGTAGTATTGAGGCAATCTTTTTTAATACTTTTACTTTTTAATTTTTTAGTGTACAAAAATGTTGGAAATTGTACATATTTAGAAGTTTATTTATAAAGTGACCGGATAGCTACAACAAATAACAACATAAATTATGTTTCATTCAATTCATTCTATGCAATTTGTAGTTCAAAATATCTAACTCAACTATCAGTTTATAAATTGTTTAAGAGAATGCTTTAATTGTATGACCTCTTGGAGGTTTGTGGATGGGAAGGGGAGGGTGGGATTTTGTGGTTTTATTAAGGGAAGAAATTTGCATTTAGTGGGTAGATATATGGGGAGCCTTTAAAGAAAGAACAAATATTTTAAGAACTTTAAGTGAAGAAAATTTAAATTTTAGAAATGCAAAGCAACTTGAGTAATGTGAAAAATTGTTTGTTGTGAAATTCAATATTTGTGTTTTTTTTCCTCCTAAATTTTTTGGGTGGCATGGGGTTGGGGAACTTGACCTGTCCTTCTACTTCTGACACGACAATGTAAAATCTAGGCAATCTTGGTTTGGCTAAAACTTGACTAGGCCTAGGCTATACTTCTTGGGTTATCAGAAAACCACGCTTGCATAATCTGGGTAGATTACAATCAATGAATGTTATGAATGGTATGCAGTAACGGCTTCGCCAGAACTTAACTTGGCTTACTCAATCTGCTTTCCGAACCATCCATTTGTTATGCAACGTAATCTTGATAGATTACTATGAATTTAATAGGAAGTAAATAATGTACCTACCATTGTGTAAGATGTGTTTGATAAATTACTGCTACCTTCAGAAAGAACTTCTGAAGCCCCTTGTCGAAGCAGTGCACCATAATGGAAAAGGGCCATACCAAGCTCAAAGTGCAAAACTATCAATCTGGAAAAACTTTGGGCCCATAAGATTAAAGAAAGGCGACGATGCAAGAGCAATGCTCCATCTTATTTTAAGGTCCAAAGTACAGTAAACCATCCTGGAGTTGTCACCAATCAAGTCAACATGGTGAACCAAATTCTCCAGTAATGGCAAGTATTGTTCCAACCTTTGGACGTCCTTAGAAATTTTTAAGGAAATAAATAGAATGAGAACAACATATCATATGTTGTCACTTACTGATCAGATTTGGACGCAGTAAGCAGTGAAATAATGAGATCTGGAAGTCAAGACCATTTAATTACACAAGTTTATCTGGTAGATTTAGCATAAATGATGATAAAAAGACTTTCACGTGTAGTTTATTGGAATCAAGCAATGGCCCAAATAGAAAAAGGCTGACAAGAAGCAACATAGAGGACTTTCATCTTTCATGGAGTCATTGCAAGATGTCGGCTAATGAAATATTACCTGTTCACACTGCGAAGTTAACCCGCCAGACATTTCCCTAGCAATGACATCTGTAATGAAGCTGCCCTTGTTAATAGACTCCTCAATTACTCTACGCTTGGAGCTCAACTCTTTGAGTTGCTCCAGTGTGCCAGAATCACGAGCACGGAATATGCCTTCAAACACAATCTGTCATAGCCAAAATCATTACACTAAAGCCCTAAAGAGTGAAAAGAAACCCCAGCATAATGCAGGTAGCAATACAAAAAAAAAAAGCATTTGCTGAGAGGATTCATCACATTGCATCCTTTGGATGTCATGCTTGAGTTTTCTCGAGGAAATATGATTCATATAATAGAGAAAACAATACTATAACTTTGAATATAGAGATTTGACAATTTATGCTACATATGGTTGCATTGATTGGACTTTAATGAAAGTCCCAACACCATGAACAAGAAAAGAGTCCTTTCTCTGCATGTGTGTGTGTGTGTTCTCTGGTTATTCCTCCCCCTGCCCCTGGAAGCACTTGGGGTCTCTGGAATTTAGCATCCATTCCAATTCTGTTGTAACATTAACTAACCAAAAGAGAAACTGGAACAGTAGCAGCCTCCAAAACCTAATTCCAAACCCCCCATACCATATAGGTGAGAAAAAAAAACATTAAGAAAGCAGAAAAATCCCTCATTAAAAGAGTTTACTTCTATGGATTCTTCTAATATCCAGACCGCCCTAACAACCAAGCACCATTCACTTCAGAACACCACAATAATTACATCAAAGGCAGTACAACCATCCTAAAACACACCAGCTTTCTATCAAAAGGGTTCAACCTTTCCAATTACAACTTTTTGCCGTCCTTTTATTGTTGGAATTGATTGGTTGTACCTATCTGATAATCCAATATGAGTGAGTGAGTCGCTAGTCCTGACAAACCAAGATACAATGCTAAAAGAATGCTCAATTAAAAAAACAATTCAATCATACCAATGTGAACATTCAGAAACAAATGCACAAGTAGTAATGCAATTAGATCACCTTTGACAAAGTTTCTATCCACCCAAAAGAATCCAATAAGGGTTCCTCAACTACGGACTGTACACTATTTTCCCAATCCTAATAACTCTTAAAATGAACAAATTCCCATTATACAGAAACAAAGTTGGAACCCTACTATGAATAATCAAATAGACACAAACCCAATGCAACTAGCAGAATGATACACTTTGGAAGCAATTCAACTGTACACTCTTTTCCCAATCCCAATAACTCTTAAAATGAATAAATTCCCATTATACACAAACAAAGTTGGAAGCTTACTATGAATAATCAAATAGACCCAAACCCAATACAACTAGCAGAATGATACACTTGGGAAGCAATTCAACCTCAGTTCTACACATCTTAGAGCTTAAATGTGAATCAGTACATAACGAACAACAGACTACCTGCTTGGTTTTGAGTTTTGAAGGGTCCGGAAAGTGCATCATCATCTTTCACAATCCCAATTAGACGCTAACAAACATAAACCAAAATGAGTAGCAAATCTTTCTGTCTTGATCTTCACTTGGATTTCATTAGTACAATAAGCATCTCTCTCTCTCTCTCTCTCTCTCTCTCTCTCTCTCGTGAATGATTGTGAAGACTAGACAAAACCCAGGTTCTAATTTGGTCCCAAATAGGGAAACAGAACAAAATATGAATATAGGAATCCAAACCGGGTTTGTAGACTATAATTCAAACAAGCGCTAAAGCAGAAAAAAGAGAGTGGAAATCTGTGATGAACCCACCTCGAAAGAGGGTCTTTAGAGTTTGAAAACTACGAGAAACTCTGACTATTGTGAATTTCTACGCCTATTACAGCTATAAGCAGAGAATTAATGCCGTCCTTCCCTATCTACGCTTATTCATGGTCGTTCACAATCTCTCTCCTCGCATTGTCGTTTCCTTCTTCGCTAAGAATACCGATGGCATTGGGAGTTGAATTATGTGGACCACACTGTGGGCTCCCGCGGGCCCACTCCTTTGTCTTACACTGAGTTTGGGCCATATGACTTCTTTCCGGCCCAAATTATTTCAAAAAATCCTCAATTTTTTTATTAAGATTTTTTTTTCCTAGGTAAAAAAGTGATCTGGACGACAAGGCGTAACAACAACACGACATTAGCTTGAGATTTCTATTCGTCATAGAATGTTCGATTTGAACAATAGCTACTAATATGAGGTGATCAAGTTTCATCAGCAGCACCACATATTTTATTATTATGCATCAGTATTTGATATATAGAAACTATTATCATAAATAGGTTCAAACACATAGCCATCGAAAAATGACGGAAATTTCACATTTTTCAAAATTTAATGATTTACTAACAAAAAAATAAATAAACAACAACATATTGGTTCAAACTGAAAAGTCACCTCCTGCCATTTACAAAAGTAAAAAATAAAAAATTGTCACTTTTGCTGGTAAGCGACATGTATGGATTTATAATTTCTTGAAAATGGTTTTCTTAATACATTTATAAAACTAACTAAATTGTTATTTGTTATACATACCTCTATTTTACTAGAAATTTATAGAGCGGGAACCTACTAGGATGTTTCGAAAACCTTTATTCATCAATTCCTAAAAATATTTTTGTTAGGGAAAATTTTATCCACACCTCATTTAATTTATTATATCTTCCAATACATTCTCTCTATTTTATGAATCTTCACTAATACCCCTGTCAGATTAAAATTATTAACTAAAATATAATTTTACTAAATTTTTCTTGATATATTTGAAGAAAAACTTCATCTAAGCCACCTCTACATAGGCATATTTTTAATGACACTTCTTCTGTTTTTTTATTTTTTTTACCTATTAAATTTCGGACCGATTAAAATTAGATTAGAATTAATTAAAATTTATTTTTTACGTATTAAGATTTAAGTCAATTAAAAATTATATTTCTAACGTATTAAAATTTATTCGATTAAAATTTTATTCGAGCAGATTAAAAAATAATTTTAATTATTTTTAATCAACTCAAATCAAATTTTAATCAACTCACATTAAATTTTAATTAGCCCGAATTTTAACATATACAAACATATAAATTTTAATCGACTCAAATTTTAATACGTAAAAAACAAAAAAAATTAATTTTAATCAATTGGAAGCGAATTTTAGTTGGCGCTAACATCTCAAGTAGAGCTCAAATCGTCTCGAATTTTAATAGGCTTGAATGTTAATATGTAAAAAAAATAGTAAAAATTGGAGCTGAATTCTCCTTAACGGACTTATAATGAGTTTAGTCCGTTAATAAAACATATTTTGAGATAAATCTATTTTTAATCTTACTAATAAGTAGTTAAGTTCACTATTTTTTTTAAATTCCAAAATACTCTTACTTGAAATAAACTTTAAATTAGTTTCCTAAATTGGGAATTATTTGTCACTAATTTTTTTTTCATAAATTTGAAATTCAAATAACAGTTGATACTCTCTCTCTATATATATATATAGAGAGAGAGATATACACACTAGTAGTTCCAGATGGATTCATCGAAGTAGATTATTTATTTTTTGTTTAAATGTTACTATTTTTGTTTTTGAATGTTATTGTTTTCGATTTTGAATGTTACTATTGTTTTTGTCTTTGAATGTTCCATGTCATTGTTTTTTTTACAATATTAATATTTTTGTTTGCATGTTATTATTTTTGTTGACTATGATACTATTGTTATTTTTTCAAATGTTAAAACTCAATGTTATTATTATTTTTTTGTGTTCAAATATTACTATATTTTTTTAAGTGGTACTATTTTTTGTGTTTAATGTTACTATATGTATGTGTGTGTGTGTGTATATATATATATACATATACACACATTAGCAATGCACCACGTGCGTTGCAACTAAATAGTTTTCGTACATAAAAATTGATATACTATATTAGTATATGTGTATCTGAATTAAATATTATCTCAAATTTATCAAACTTCATTTTTTATTACTCATATTCTATTATAGGATTATGAAAACTTTATATATTTTTAAAATTTGTTATTCTGACTATAAGAATTAAAGATAAAAAAAAATAGTTAAAGTTCAAATTTTTCTTTATTTTGTGAATGAGAGTATTTTTTATTAATGTTTGAGAAATTAATTTTTTTTGAAATTTATTCGATTAACATTTCACTTATAATTCCTTTAATAAAATAAAAAGTAATTGTCAATATACTATTTAATTATATTTGAACTTTATTGTAATTAAAAATTAGTTATGTCAATTAGGATAATATTTAATATAATATATATTTTAAAATATATCAAAAATTTAAGTTTTACTTAAGAATATACTACAAACTATTTTTCACATAAAATTTGAATACAACTTAAAAAGTTTATTGTAAACTAAAAAATTATATTGATGTAGCATAAATTAATTTAAAAAAATTAGATATATAATTATTTTTTATCTTATAAATAAAATAGTTAAACTTGCAGATAATGTTATCGTTGCATATGAGATGAATAATGTTAGATTGATAAAGTTTTTTGAATAATTTATTGAAAATATAATGATGCATATTTTTAAAAAATAATATAGTCAATAAAAAAGTTTTCAATGAAATTGATATCTATATAGAGATAATAGGTGATTAAAATAGATGTTATATGTAATTTAGAGATTTAAAAACATAAGAAGATAATAGATAATTTAGATATTTAATTGTGAAATGATAGAGTAGTTTTTATAATTTTTTATAAAAGTAAAATATGAGAATCAAAAGTTTTTCATATTAAGTTACTTTTATTAGTAGTGTGCAGTGTGTGTGGGTGTGTATGTATGAGAGAGAAAAATAAATAGTCTTATTCTATATATGGATATAGATAGATAGGAGGGAGAGAATTTTAATCTTAGTTAATCACTTAAAATTTATGAGTTGTTAGTTTTTAAATTTGTTTTAATTAAACATAACTATTGGGATATTTTGTATAATGGAGATAAAAATGGACTTAATATTAAAAAAAGTTTCATGAATAGACTTATCAGCAATATAAATCCACAAAGGGGACCAGCTTCCAAAATTTTCAAAAGAATAAAATTTAATTAGCTTAAATTAAAATTTAATCGGTTCAAATTTTAATATGTAGAAAAATGAATTTTAATCAGTTTGAATTTTAATATGTAGAAAAATAAATTTTAATCTATTAAAATTTTAATAGAATTTTATCTAGAAAGATTGTTTGGTGTTTATGTAGGGGTATTTTTTATATTTTAAATATTTTTTTTAGTTAGAAATAGTGGTTTAATGACAAGAGGTGTCAGTAATGTTTTCTATATTAGATATGATGTCCTTGAAGATATGGTAAACTAAAAGGGAGGTGGTTTAAATTTTTCCATTTTATTATCATGTGTAACAAAGATAAGCTTGACATTTTTTGTATAGCTACCATAGAGACAAATAAGATGAAATTGTTTCCTAATGAAAGAAGAATAAGTTGAAGGACGTGTATAATAGGAAAAAATAGGGAAATAATTGGATAATTTGACAATGGGAGAGGATAAAGATTCAAAAAAAAAAAAGTGAGAGGAAAAACTTTAAAAGATTTATTTTTATATTTTGTCAAATCTTATAACAGAGACGAATTGTAAAACTTAAATACCTCGATTTCGAATTTTAACAACTTTTTTGCCCCAAACCACGAGGGGATAAATCTCTCACAAACTCTTAGCATTGATGATCCGTTTTTGATCAAACAAGGAGATAATTAGTTGACTTACATGTAAGTTAACCCGAACACCAGTGACAATTTAAAAAAAAATAGTCATAAATAATTTCAATAGACAACTTTTTAATATAATGTCATTAAACAACTGGTATGCACCCAATATTTATATGGTGTTTCAACATTAATATGTAACTACCAAATTTGGTTTTATTATGACTTTTTTATTTTTGGAAATTTCATTTAGGAAAGATGATATTGCTATTTTTGTCTTTATTAAATAATATTACTCCACAAAATTAATCTCTTCAAATTAACATGTCACATACTATTAATTATATATCTCATAATTAATGAGAATCTATCTTGTAATAAATGAATATCTCGTGTATTTAAAATGAGCGTACTCAACCCAAATAGGTAATCTAGTGGAGATAGGGACGAGCCAGGACACGTAGACTAGGAGCGGGGATGAGAGTGCAACAACATCAATATTCAAAAAAAATTGAGAACGTCTTAAGAATGTTATATTATATGCATACAAACATGCATTTACTCATCAAAATTTAATATAAATAAATTATAAAAAATTAAAATTTCATGTACAACCATGAAACACTATTTAATTTTAAATATATGTTCGTTATAACGTCTTAAAATGATAATTATAATTTACAAAAAAAATTTTAGTTTGATATGTATCTTTTAGGTCTGAGTGAGTACTTCCCAAATAAAGAGTAGTAATAATAAGTAAGCATATAATGCAACTTAGCTGAATTCGCAAATTAAAAAAATTAAAATTACTGTAAATTGAGAGTTCAAATTCATAGAGAATTCGTTCCCCGAGTTCGAGGAGTTTATAAAAATTATGTCAATAAAGGACGAATTTGTAAACTTAAACGTTTTTAGTTTAAAACTAGATAACTCTTTTAATACCAAATAATTATGAATTTATCTCTCGTGAATTTTTTAATCCCAGTATGAATGTCCTGTAAAGATTAATCAAATTGCGCACTACAAAAATAAACATATAGCTGTCCCGGTTAAACCAGCCTCAATGCCAACCTTTGTTAAACCAACCTGCGTTGGACCTCTGTTACTAGTTATTCTAGATTTGGATCATTAATAAGAACGTCCTTAAACATTCATGAGAATAGGAGAGAAGGCAGATTTGAAAGCACAGTAGTTCAACCTCCATCGCAGAGCTGGTTGAATACTTGTATCTGATTTGAATCTAGTGGGAGAGAAAACCTAAAACCTGCCGAAGTTTACTGTTGATTGGCATAGAGTACAGGTAGTCAGCCGACTTTCAACGGCAGTAGTTGAAAATCGTTTGAAAGAGCAACAAAAACCATTTTATTGGGACATTTTGACGAACACATGGCGAACAAACAGTTGATCGTGGCCGTTGAAGGCACCGCTGCCATGGGTCCCTTCTGGCAAACCATCGTCTCTGATTACCTCGACAAGGTCATAAGGTACTGTCGTATCATCTCCCTCTGACACTTTATATAGAAAATAGATATACACACAGGCATATACCCCTGTTTGTTTTAATGAGGTTGGATTGACTGCTTTACAACGTTAGGGCTTTGTGTATTTGCAGAATTCTTGGAGTGTGAACGGGGTTAGTGTTTGTTATGGTACCCTTTTTGGTTTTTAATGTTATGATGAGTTATGTTTTTTGATTTTATATTTTTTTTATTGTAGTGCCTGGCATTGCAACAGCTGTGTTTTATTCGTGAAATTCGCTCTATTGGCGGAAAAAAATTGAATGGGGTTGATGTGATCGAGAGGGTAACCGTTCAAGTTCTATTTCTAGCTACGGGTAGGGTTATTGCTTGGTGAAATAGATAAATTATGGGCTGTTGAGCGTGGGAATACTGGTTTGAGTTGTAACTACGTTGTGCTAACATAATTCGACTGTTACTGTCAAAACGAAAACTTAAGAAATGTTGGGGTGTATGGTTTCAACCAGTCCCAGGACATCATTCCCAACACCCTGAATTGGTGGACAAAATTGGGTATTGGCTTCTTATATATGTGTTGAAGAGAACAATTTGGTTTGATGGCCGTCCAGTAAAGGAAATCAAGATCATGTTAGTTAATGAAAGATTTTGACCAGAAACCGTGTCAATTTAGAGTTTTGAATAAGGGATGGGACAACCCATTTTAACTGTTACATTTATTCTCAAAATTTTCTCTGCCTGCTTGTGTGTCTGACTTCTGCATTCACTTTGTCTTCTTTTTCTAAGTTTGATTGTCACTTCATTATCTCTTCAAAACCAAGTTGTCAACTCTAAATGTAGGTTCTTTGTTGCCTAAGTATAGGTAAAGTTAATTTCTTACATATATGAACCTAAGTTCCAGGTAGCAATTGGGTCATTTAAGGTTACGGGTTACCCCTTCTTTCCTGTGATATAAAGTGGACATCATGGTGAATTTGTGCTTTTTACAAAGATATCACATAAAGGTCAGCACTTCGTATACCGATGGATGTGTTAATAAAATGGTGCAAGCCTTAAACAATATCCATATGTCTTCCCAGAGTTACACCGAATGAGTGTAGAAGGATATATATAGGGAGAACCAGACACATATAGGAAGTATCAGATGCAGATACGAGATTTATTGATAAATACGGTCCGTTAATAGCCCATTCAATATGGATGCTATTTAACAGGTGTTTGTCCTATTTAACCTAGACATAACAACGAGGTTACGATATACGCCTCCTAAAGTTTGCCTTCCCTCACATTTCTTTTTCACAACATGATGCCAGAAACCATATCCAAGAAACAACTGATTGTCATCATTGAAGGGATGGCTGCCTTGGGTTTCTTTTGGCATACCATTCATATGGATTATTTGAAAAATATTGTTTGGTCAGTCTGCACTCAATTTACAAGCATTGCAGTTTCTGTTTGCAGAACTCCCCTTTTAATTGCTTTAACTTTCTGTTTTGATGCAAGCCACTTTTCCTTCCAATAGTTTATTATCCATAGTTAAGTATCCAATCTCAGTCCACTGTTTTCGCTCAAGTGCTTGTGATGCCTAAGTGTGCTTGGAAGAGACATGTGTTCTTTCTGTACACCTCTTCCATTGTCTATTATTATCTGTCCTATAAAGTGACAACTCATCCTATTTTATGTTGTTGTAGTTGTGTGTGTTTTTGTTTCTGTAAGGCATGATAGTTTCTGTCTAATAAGATTATGATATCTAGTAAGAGCACTTGCATCTCCCATCAAATAATTAGGACCACTAAGGTTGATTTATATACTTGAGGGGCCACTTCATCCATTGCCGGTTTTGGGTTGGATGCTCTAACAATATCTATAGCTATTAAAGGTTTTGTTCATTGTTTATGTTGATTTGGAGGAGATATGTCCATTGATTTTGGTCACATGACTAAATATCTATTGGAAAATTGTTCCTCGCTAGAATTGGGAGGCTGTGAACTTTTTTTTTTTTTTTCGGATTTTGATGTATTCTGCAATTTTGAAACTAGCATCACATAGGAATTGAGGTTAATTTATTTCAATAATTTTAGGTATTTCATTTTTCTTCCTTGGTATCATATTTCTGTTGGTCATTCTTCATTTTTCCCCCTCTATTTTTTTAAGGAACATTCTGTGGTTGGATTGTTGTTTCTCTGACGATAATGATTTTGATGCCCAAACAAGGGTTATTATATTTTTGAAGAATTGTCAGGGCTGGGGTTCTTGTATTACTGAGTTTTTTTTGTTAAACAACTTGAAGGATCTCCATCCTTCTTTCAAGGTGCTACTAAACCAGCAGCATGAAATTTGTCCTGTGTTAATTTAAGAAAGAGGGACAAATTTATTTCATATTCATCTGAGAATTGTGGCTCTGACAATTTTGGTGTTACCTGTGGGAGAACTGCTGCATAGCAATAAAGTCTATGTTATTTCCTAGCCTTGCAGATGAGAGGTAGTAATTGGTGTTTCTTCATTCTGTGCATGAAGTTCATCACTGTGTCGAAATTAGATGATTATATATGAATTTTTGGGGAATGATGTGTTGAGGATCTTCGTTATTTTGATCATTATTATTTTTTTACAAAGTGAAGTTGCAATCTCTTGATTTTTTTTTTCTCTGTTCATGCTTTTCTTTGTTACACACTTATACTGATAAGAAAATGCATTTTGCATTTTATATTTGTTCGTTAGTTTCACCTAATGTGGCATCAATTTATTTTGACAGGCCTACTAACGAAAATGGTTATGTAGTGGATGCGGTGATTACTTTATCTTGGGAAAAACCTAATGTGCTTTATCATGTCCAGTAACTAGTTTGTGCCTTAAAATAATTGAATGTTATCCCCCACTTGTAGCTATACGAAGTGCAAGAATGCATTGAGCTTGTAGGTTATTCTTTTTGTTGACTACCAGGAGGTTTATACTTCAACTATAAATATTGTCAATTTGTCATCATCTTATAAATGACGTTTGTGGTCAGCGATATATTTGTTTCTGAACTCATCAACAAATTTTAGGTGCTTATTTCGCTCTTTGAAAGACGTTTGTGGTCAGCGATATATTTGTTTTTGAACTCATCAACAAATTTTAGGTACTTATTTCACTCTTTGGTTCTGAATTATTTTCTACGTTGTGCAGGTATTTTTGTGGAAATGAGTTGGCAGGGCAGGTAAGCATATATTTATTTAATCTGAAGTTTTGTGAAATTTAATTGTGATATTTTTTTTCTGTATTCTATTTAAATCCGAAAGCTGGCTGTGTATCTGTGCTGTTTGTATATTAGATGTGATGATATGGTATTCATACAAAAGAAATGTTCTTAGTCCTAAAATAGCTGTTTTGATGTTTAAAAGAGTATCATGTACAATATGTAATAGGATTATTTTTCTGCCTTCATTTTGGATTTTGGTGACTATGGAATTTTGAAGTTATTTTTCATTAGATTGTCTTGAAGGATCGGATAAGGATCTTTTTCTTTTCGAAAAGCTCTTGTCTTAGGGGGTCAATTCTTTCAACAAGATCCACTCAGATCAGATCAAGATGAAAAGGATTGGTCTGACCTCTCTCTCAAATGTATGACTCCCGTCACAGATGTTCCATGCCACATTGCATGAACAGCTATGCCTGAGGATGAAGGAATTGTGTTATAACGCAGTAAAAGCCATGGCTCTATTCCCCATTTGAAATCCATAAAGTGCTTTTATGGTAGAGTAAATAGGGGCCCTATAATTGGATATCGTAATTTTATGTGATGGACTATTCTACATGAGAAAAGGCAATTTGTGAGAGCATCAAACTTATGAAAATGCCAGTAGATTCTGACGCATTTGGTAGTCGGTAGATATAATTCTGCTCTGACCAGCCTTGTACACACAGTCAAGGACCATTTTCTTAACAAATTGTTGTGTGTTAGAATGAAAAATAGCCCTTTTGGCATGGCTCTCCACATTGATTAATTGATTGAAACCCCCATCTCTGCACTTACACACGAACCCTTAATCCTCGAAACATATGCCAAGTGATACTTCTTCTAGTTCTAATTCCAGAAACGATATAGGACAGAAAAATGGCTTTTAAGACTAGTTACATTAGTTTCTTTGTGGCTAAAGGTCAGCCAACAGGAGGAGTTTGTTTAGTCTCTGAATTCATAAGAAAGGGGAAAGCGTATTTTGTTGATGTTCTGGGCCATAAATAATACTTACAAGCATCTATAGCATACACATTTCATTTTTAGGGTTCTTGGTCTGCATGTGTGGAGGACAGATATGACTGGCTTGTTAAATAGGTCTCTTTGGTGCAGGGTGAAATTATTTTAGATACTAGGAATCCTTTCTAGAATAGGTACACATCAACTAGTTTAGGGCTGCATCAAACAATCTTGAGAGAGCTTCAAAAGCTTTTAAAATTTGTTTAAGCGGATTTTTATTGCATCAAAAGATGGGTTGCTGGACTTTTTGGATCTTACTAGAGTTATGAATGCAAAATTAAAAACTCAAGAACTTCCATTGTAAAACCCGTTAAACCTACTGAAGGCCCATCGGTTGGCCAGGTTTTTTTTTTTTTTTTTTTTTTGGGGTGGGGGGGGGGTTGTTGTTGTTGTTGGGCGGGGGTAGAATGAAGCTATGATAAATTTATAGATAGGAGCCCAATGACATTGTTTTTTATTAGTAAAATTTTCATTTGGGGTGCAAACCGTGTATACAAAAGTGTTTGATGATGTTACCTGACCCAAAATATAAGGTTCATGGATCACCACTAAAGTCCATTACCTGAAAAGTGAAAACTGCCAAAATACCTTAACTCGTAAAATTTTAACCCAAAAAAAAAAAATGCAAACATATTTAACTTGATGAAAACTTAAAGAAAGCATCAAATGGTTAATAGCAATCAACGATATATTATACATTTTTACAAGCTTGACAACCCTCCTTTTTGATTTGATTTTGCCTATGCCTCTGATATTCCACAAGAGATTCTTTCTTAATCATGGATAACAATGAAAGAAGTTTGAGAAGAACGATAACCCATCTGGAGCTCTTCAAGTTTGATTCTTGTACTTTGGCAGATGTATCTGGCTACTCCTTGTAGGATTCAGAAGCTTTAGATTCCTAAGTGAGCTTATGTTATATTATGTGCTCGAAAGACGCAGGACTTTGGAGGCATCCTTGTTACACATTCGAGGGTTTTCTTAACCACGTTGTCAACTTCTCTAAATGATGCCCATAAACATTTCATTTACGACCCTAATGCATTCCTATGAAATGTAAGACAACACTTCCTTACTATATGGGATTTTGAAAACTGATGTTAGTTTTACAAAGATAATTGATAACTGATGTTACAAAGACAGTTGAAAATTGATGTTACAAAGGGAAATGAAATTCTAGAGAAAATAATGTCTGGTCAAAATAATAGCGGGAGATGATTAAAATGTGTAATATTTTCCAGGATCTAAGGTTTTGGGAAAGGGGAGAGAGATGCACTTAGAGGAAATTAAGGTAGAACATTAATGGTGCCTGACATAAGCTTGAACCAGAGTTTACATATCTTTGTATACTATGGATCTTACATGGAATGATCTGAATGTCTTATTTTATATTGCACATGCATTTGTCACTAATCTGTATATTTGTGAGCAACAAATGAATGCTCAGATGACTGTGCCTTTTGGCATCTATTTGCAACTATCAGCACATTTTGTTTCGTTTAAGTTAAGAGTTCACTGGTTGACGGCATTATTTACTTCTGTAATAATTAATTCTGTATCTTGCCATGTTTTACCTTCTATCATTTTAATCTATCTGTTCACATTTTTTGGATAAACAGAAGCAATCTGCTCCCATTGTCGAGCTGTCTCTGGTCATGTTTAATGCTCATGGATCTTACAGTGGTGCGTTTTTCCCATTTTCTTATGGATTTATGATACAGGGATTTTTTATTGATGTTATTTTGCTCTTTGCTGAGTAAACTGGTTTGTGAAAAAAACAAATGAGTTGACATCATGCACGGCCCCCACCATGCAGAAATCCATCCTTCTCACCTGTTGCCCCCCATCTCTTTCATGTAACAGTGTGTAGAGTTGAAAATTTTATATGAGGATTCAAATGTTTTTACTATTCAAAAATATCATGAATCAGTTTCATTCTGTGGTTTTAGAGTTCAATCAATATCAAGATATTTAGATTTCAATCTTCCTGAATGCTTCATTAACTGTTTGTATTTGTGTGGCAACTAACAAAATTCTTTTTTATCCTTTCCCCTTTTTTTATCTTCTCCCGTCTCTCCTTTACGCAGGTTGCCTAGTACAACGGAGTGGCTGGACAAGAGATGTTGATATTTTCTTTCAGTGGCTTTCAGCTATACCCTTTGCTGGTGGTGGTTTCTGTGATGCCGCAATTGCAGAAGGGCTTGCTGAAGCTTTAATGGTATGAGGTGTTTATTATGCCCTTCTCCATATAGATTTGAAATTTCAGTTCACAAATACTGAATGGGCCCTGGTGTTGCCTTAATTATGTTTGCAATTAAATTTCTTCTGTTCATTTTCTTCTTTTCATGAATTTCAAGCTCCTCTTTCTTGTTAACATGATCATTTTGCTTGATTCAAGTTCTTTACAACTTGGAACAAATCATATTTTGTTTAGAATTTCTCTACAGAGTATAACTATTGCTAATTTTAGGCAGGCTTAAATATAGGAGAATTACATAAACTTATTAGCTGATCAAATTCTTTTGCTGATACTCTCTAGGAGTGACTTTTAAAGTAGCTGGAAGAAGGATTTAATGATGATCATTGAGACAGTTATTGATGGATTTATTATGACTGTTACTGTGGATTTTCTTAACTAAAATTAGGGCATTCTGAAAACTCGCGCTGAAGCTCTTTTGGAAGTAGCAACAACAGCTGGTAGCCTATGATAGGATCAAATTATTTCTGCCAGTAATAGTGCTTGACCAAACACGCCTTTCCCTAGTTATCTAGAATTGGCTACACGAATTCCTTTCTTGCCATTCCGCTCTTTTAGTTCCAGGCATCCTGTATCTTCTAGAAGACTAAATGAAGTTACCTATCCGTTGTCGCTGCTGCACATTGAAGGTGAACGGTATAATTTTTCTTTCCTTCAGTCCAAGGGTGTACATATAGCATGATCAGATCATCTTCTGATATATTAAAGACTTATGTATGTGGTGTTTTAGGACTCTTTCTTAATCTAGGCTGTTATTACTTTCTGTTTTGATATTGGTGGTCATTTAGATGTTCTTTAAGTTGAGCATTTCCGATAACAAAATTTAAAGGGAATTGCAATTCACTGTTTATTTAGAACATGCAGCTATAACTGGAAACTACGGTTAAATTACATGTGCAATCATATAAAAGTGACGTAAGTGGACAAAGTATTGATAATTATAAGTAAAATACTTTAAATGTAGTGAAGAAAGTGTATTCTGAACTCTACCGAATAAGTATGCAGACCTCTTGATGAATTGTTGGTTTAGAAGTGTGAAAAGACCACTGGGGTATCCGTTTCCAGTTGATGATAATTTAGATGAGCAATATTTGTCTTCCTCCATTGTTAAAATTGTTAAATGATTCAATGGATGCGATGTTTAGTTCCTTGTTGGACAAGTTGAAGCTAATGCCTTCTTATAACTTTCGAGTATGTGAACAACTTTTGCCATAAAAATATTTGTCCTTATAACTTTTGTTGGTGGATGGGATCATGGGACCATTCTAGAGGACGGGGTCGTGTTTCAATTGCAATGCAACATAATAGAATCTATTACATTACCAAACATGCTCCTTAAATCTTAGTGGTGAAGATTGTTTTTGCCCAAAAAAAGGAAAACATACGAGTGTGCACCTCTATAACAGTATGTCTATTGCTTTTGACTAGGGATGAGAATTTTTAATAAGATAAACAAAATGACACGGCCCACTAACTCGGATAATAAAAAGGTCAGTTTAGTGTCAAACATGAATAACCCAATTTGACATAACAAATATGTTTAGATGGTATAATATACAAAAGAATTGATGTTTTCTATTTTTTTTCCTAGTTTTTGATCTAGTATTATACGAATCATTGTAAAATCAAAGAACTTGTTACTTAGTCTACCAAACATATGGATCGAGGGAATTTTTAGATTATGGATAACGTACGAAGTGATTAATTTGGTTGAAAGAGAAGGGAGACTTAAATTTGAATTTCTGGTTCACGTGTTATGTTTGTCAATGAACATGATTCGTTTGATTAATAGATTGGGTGAATGAATGTCAGATCATCTTGACACAATTAGTTATACAGGTTGGATTGGGGTTGACAAGTAGTCGACACAACTCGAAATGACACTACCTAAACTAAACACAAATAATACGACTCAATTGCCACCCCTAACATGCTGTCAAGTGATATGGGCAAATCTTAAGATACTTGTGACTGAAAAGTAGACAAACTGTCTAATCACAATTATTCTGATGCATTACGCAGATGGTCTCTTCTCCAAGCGGAAGCCATGCTCAACAAAATACAGATGGGAGGCATTGCATTCTTGTCGCTGCAAGTAACCCTTATCCCTTACCCACACCGGTTTATCGACCACAACTGCAGAACTCAGAGCAGAGTGAAAACATAGAATCACAAGCAGACAGTCGACTATCTGATGCTGAGGCAGTTGCTAAATCATTTGCACAGGTACTAGTATAGAAGTATCTGTTCCTTATTTTCTCAGGCACTGATGTTAAGGTAGTTGCTAAATCACTTGCTCAGGTATTAAGTGGCAGAGCTGACCATTTACTTTTGGGCCTGCAGTGTTCTGTTTCTCTGTCAGTTATTTGTCCAAAGCAACTTCCAAAACTTAGAGCAATCTACAATGCGGTAATATGGCATTGTTTATTTATGTACTTAATCATTTGTCTTTTTTTGGATGAGCTTATTGAAAACATACTCAACTAGTCCATGTGTTTAGTTGTAGTGATGTTTCCGCACCGATTTCTCACATCAACTTTGCCCAGCCTTTTGTATTGATGCAGTTTTTTTAGTTAGAGGAATAGGCAATAAGAATACGTTGGTTGGTTTGTCGGATCACATCATGACGAATTGGAAAGTTTGGATTTTCAAGATTGTAGATTTAGGGGAAGGGTGTGAGAAGGTCATGAGATTCATGCCATATCTCATATTCTTGTTGGCCTACTGTGAGATATAGTGTCGAATGCTTCTTTTTGCTGCCAGGTTTTTCAAAGAAAATATTTAACGATACAGCATGTTGGGCAATTAAGTGTGGCAGAAATGAAAATTTTGAGATAGAAGTAGCACCAATAGAAGATAAAGAGAATTGACTTGCATGCTTTGAAGATGTTTATAGAAAACTTATTCTTGCACCAACGATTGAGAGTGATATAATATATCTAGATGGTAATGCAAGTGGTAGAGGTAGTCAGAAATTGACTCTGAATGAGATAGTAAAACATGGTGTAATAATTTTCAGTTTAACAAAATGTATGAACCTTCACAGATGAGAAATAGAATTCATGTAGCCATCCCCAATTAGTTGAGACAAGGCTTAGTTGACTTGAGTTGGGTTAAGCGAAACACGAAATGCTTTCTGTAATAGTAATGCCATAGACCTCCAATATTCAATTTGGAATTTTTGTTTCTTTCTACTTGCCTCTTAAGGTCCTTGCCCTCTAATTGCTTACACTTGATCCCATATTATGTACATGGTTTTCCTGTTATTTGTTTGTTTACCTATATATAGATTTGGTTATTTATAATATTGAAGTATTATTTTGTGTCTAATGCCCTAAAATAGAAAGAATTTATGAATACTACTATGCTTTTTTGACACTAGGCATGCTAATAACTTCATCACTTTGGCATTTTAGGCAAAACGCAATCCACGGTCAGCAGATCCGGCTGTTGATAATGCTAAAAATCCTCATTTTCTTGTCCTAATCTCGGAGAATTTCATGGAGGCTCGTGCTGCTGTAACTCGGACTGGATTGACTAATTTGACATCCAATCAAAGTCCGGTAAAAATGGATGTAGCTTCAGTTCCTTCGGTTTCAGGGCCGCCTTCAACTACTATTCCTTCAGGTGGTTTGCACATTGAAGTTATTTTTCCATTTCTTTTATACCCTTTTGCTGTGTAGGATGTTCACCCTGGCTTTAAAAGTTGTGTGGTCAATCAACTGATGTGAAGTATATATGAGGTTTTTTTTACTTCATTTATTTATTGGATTTTTTACGGAACTATATCAAACTCGATGGGTCTGAGAAAGAAAAAGGAGGACAAGAAGCGGATCAATCAATCATGTTTATTTCGCGATTCAACCTGTTCATATATGCAACATAGAGGATACGTGTTTTAAATTCTGTAAATGTCGCAGCATCTTTTCGTGTTCTCCTATTGTTTTTATAAGAATCTAAATTGAAACTAGCAGCTCAAGATGCATCGTATGTTGGACAACATTAACAGTGTTAGAATTTTCCATTAGGTTTTCTGTTCTTGTTGGCAGGATTTTCACGGACCGTGATGCACACTCATAATTGTAAAATCTCTTCTATGAAAACCATTTTCTTTTTTCTTTTTATTTTTTTGTGAAGTTTTTTGTAGTGGTTGATTTACAATGGTTTGATCAGAACTGGTATTATATGTCTTCAAGTGCTCCAGAAGTTTGTTGGAAATTTGGGGAAAGAGTATTTGGAACTCACTTTTAAGAACAAATCTATTCAAGTTTCAGATTGTGGATCATAGGACTAAAAGCATACTTGTGAAATAGGGCCAGTGAAACTTATTGGTTGGATAACAACTTTAATGCTCATGGATAACTTATCTCGATAATTTGAAATACTAATATTTTTCGCATTTTTCCTTTTCAGTTAATGGATCCATCGTGAATCGGCAACCAATTTCCATTGGAAACATTCCTCCTGCAACTGTCAAACTTGTACGGCTCAAACTCTCTTTTTTGAGTTTCTTTGCTTTTGTAGTTTCCCGGATATTTCAAGATTGTGCGAGTGCTGATGGTCTCATGACATTTTTTTCCTCAGGAGCCAAGCACTGTGACTTCCATTGCATCTGGATCTGCTTTCATGCATATTCCATCTGTTCCTCGTGCTGCTTCTCAAGCAGTTCCAACTTTACAGACTTCTTCACCAATATCGGTTTCTCAGGAGATGATCTCGAATAGCGAGAATGTGCAAGATATGAAACCTATGGTTAGTAGTATGACACAGTCCTTACGTCCTGTGGGTGCTGCAGCAAACGTGAGCATTCTTAACAACCTCTCTCAAGCACGGCAAGTGATGAACTCTGCAGCTTTAACAGGAGGAACTTCTATAGGACTTCAACCAATGGGTGGAACTCCTGTTGCCATGCACATGTCAAACATGATATCCAGCGGAATGGCATCTTCAGTGCCTGCTGCTCAAACTTCATTATCATCTGGACAATCAGGGATCCCATCAATGTCTGGCTCAGGGACACTAACAGGGAGTGCACAGGTTGCACAAAACTCAGCTCCTGGTTCATTCAATTCCTCAACTACTACTATGCCAGGGAATTCAAACCTTGGCATGTCACAGCCATTGAGTAATCATCAGGGAGGTGTCAGTATGGGGCAATCGGTACCTGTCATGAGCCAAGGAAACCTTTCAGGGGCACAAATGGCACAAAGTGGAATGGGGATGAATCCAAACATGATGAGTGGCCTTGGCCCATCTGGTATATCTGCCGGAACAGGCACAATGATTCCTACTCCAGGAATTCCTCAGCAGGTGCAACCAGGAATGCCGCCGCTTGGGATGAATAACAATTCAGCAGCTAATATGCCACTGAACCAACAAACATCAAGTGCATTGCAGTCAGCACAATCTAAATATGTAAAAGTTTGGGAGGTAAGACGCCATAACTGCTAGAAAGGATTGAAGTTGGATTTCCAAACTGCAGATTGCAATGCTTAGAAATTTACACATAAAACATGGTCTTTTATGGTTAAAATGCCGGTGTGCAATTTTATATCATTAATTTTAAAATTTTTATAGTTTCTTACTATTGGAGAACATGAAATATAATTGGTAGTAGAGTATTGGCATTTGGATGCATGTTTTGTACACCTAGGGATGGTTAATCTGTGATACGGATCCCTGCCATCATTGCAATCCCTGCTGAAAGACCTTATGGGGAGGAGACTATGTGTCTATGCAATATTAATTTGTCGTTTGTGGTTGATTACTCCTCTGGGAACTTTTAAATATGCATCAACAAGGATTTGGTTCCATCTCTACTTTATTCGCTTATGCCTTTTTTCACTAATTTACTATTGTGGAGTACTTCTACATGGTGTTTAGATAGCATTTGATACTCAAGGGTAATGATTATAGAGCTTGAAAATATGCTGAACTTGCGTAATCCTGTCAATTTTCCATGTTGGAGAGGGAGATGTTTTATGTAACAATCGTTTCAAACATTCAAACAGAACTGCTCTACTTCCAAAGATGAGTTGTAAATGCTCCAGGTTCCTAACTTCACATAAAAGTCATAATGACTTTCCTCAAGAAGACACAGGAGAAGTGAACACTTTCATTTATCTGGAGTTGTTTGTTTAGAGGAAACAGTTCTTGCGAAGTGTAATGCGATGAACACCTCACTATGGACTTCGAAATGTGTAACTAGCAATAAGATCTGCGATGCCTACATTCATAAGTTGCGTGTGGCCATAATTCAGAAATTGAGATGGATGTTTGTTTAGACAAGGGAGGGTAAATGAGAGATATCAGGATCTTGTGATGGTAAAATAGCACCAGTTGGGAGTAAGAGAAGAATAGTATTCAAGATTCTTTGACCATAAGCAGAGTAGAACAGTGGCTGACTAGTGAGACCACATGGTAGAATGTGATTCAAGGGTAATAGATATACTATAACTATAGATTGGGCATAATGGGGAAACATGTGCCGGACAGATAATTACATACTTGGGGGAAACCCTAGGATACGGGTTCGTGGAGCAATAGCTGTAGCAAGAGTGCCAGAGGCTGAGTGGCAAACTTTAGAAAAACCTATAGTGCAAAGCTTCTCTGGAGTTTTTGTCTATGTATATATATATATATAATACTAGGTTGTCCTTATAATGATAAGAGTATCCGGACCTTTTTGTCTTTCTTTTTGTTTATAAATATACATATCTATAAAAATAATACTAGCTTTTCATTACAGTGACCGGATAAGTGTGATTTAATTAACAATACTGACACAAACACTAGTGTATACCTAGCAATCCTACAATTTTTTAATTTTTAAAGTCACACATCTTGTAATTGGATGCCCAAAAACAAGTTGATTTTGGGCATCCGGATTGGATTGGAAAAGTCATAGAACACACGTTTACAAGAAGTTTTTCGCCACCGAAGTTCTCCATTGTTTCTTGTCCTTTCAGAAAGAACTAGAATGAATTTCCTACTAATGCCCTTACCCTTTACCAGTGTTACTGAAGGGAATAAAACTAAATAACCTCCAAAATTATGGAATGTAACAATGTTTACTGATTGTTGTAATAGTGGTTCGTAGTGAATGAGGTTGAAGGTCTCTTTGTCAGAAACAACAAACTAACAGTTTGGGAAAACAGTAACATTTGCAAACAGGATCAACCTGGCTCCCAGTGGGAGTTACTTCCTGGAACTTGTTTGGTTGAGTTTTACGCTAGAAAGAGCAAATTATTTCTTATATGATTGGATGTGGGTTTTGTTATGTTTAGCTTCCTTTTAGGTATCGTATTTTACCTAAGCCTATTATTGTTGTCACTAAACACAGTTGCTTTATAATGGGTTCTACGGCTGTCCACTAGTGCAAATTCCTAGTTTCACGTGAGAGTGTATTAATAAATCCCTTCAGAAAATTAATACGTCTTAAATTGTTTAGTTTTTTCTTTATATTTTGTAGTTATGCAGTTACCTAAGTTGTCTTGAATGACCTAACTGGTGCAGGGAAGCTTATCTGGGCAGAGACAAGGCCAGCCTGTTTTTATCACCAGACTAGAGGTATGTTTCTACACCCCAGATAAGCTATGTTGCAATTAAGAAAGTTTTATTTTCCACTTATTTTAACAAATGGTTCATTACAAAATAATGGTTATTCTTGAATTTCCATTTCATCTCTTCACATTTAATATGGCATAATATGACAAGATTCTCCTACCTAGTTAATTTTAGTGTAACCTCGTTACACATTCATCTACTTTTACATAAGCATTTACCAATAATTTCATTTCACCGATTGCATAAACCTTATTTTCAATTATAATTGCTGCAGGGTTACAGGAGTGCATCAGCGTCAGAGACGTAAGCCTATGGAGTGTACTGAAATTTGATAAGTAGATTTTAAGCTTCATCAACTGACCTCGTGCTATTACTTGGAATCTACTTTACTTTCTTTAATACATGTCAAGTAGGTGTACTTTATTAATAGAAATAAATTGATTTTAACTGCAACCTGATTAGTGGCAAAAACTGGTGATTTGTAAGAGGCCTTCGAATCCAGTTGAAGTTCTGACCATCTGTCAGAGAAAAGATCTTGTAGGATTTCCTAGAAATTCTTTACTTTCTTTCGAAAACAGATGATTAATCATCTACTTCTCATGTTCTGGGACATTGAGGAATATTCAGAAAGGCATTTCGGGAATCGGTCTTGCTTTATCTCTGTAGACTGTTGGTTCCGTTTGAAGAAAGGAAGGATCCCAAAGAATTGATCTTTCTTTTAGCTGTTGAATCTCTCTTTGATTGATCAATGGGTGATAGTCTGAATTCTCATTACAATGATCTCTGGATTGATCAAAAGATCATTTCAATTGGCTAGAATCCATTACTTGAACAACACTAGATCTTGTAGAATCATATTGAATATTTTTGTATGCTTGGCTCTCTTCTTGTTCAGTTTTGAACAAATTTTCCCTTTATTCATGATGTAGCATTCATTCACAATTTTAGTATGCTCAGATATGCCGAATGCAATTTTAGGGCATATCAGTGTTATTAGAAAATCATTTGTCCTCTTAAAACTTATTTTTTAAACAAGCTTGCAGTGGCCATGAAAATAGGAACTCCTAATATTTCTTGGGTGCAAGAGTTTCCAGTGAGTAATGACATTTTTTTGTCCTGCTGTAAACATTTATCTTGCTCCCTTTGTTGCTAGTGCTTGCTACAAGTCCTATTCGGATGATCTGTTCCAGGTGTATGACCTTTTCTTTTTCCCCATTTACTCAGGCTTGCAGCAAATTGGCCACCAACAATGCAAATAGTTCGGCTTATATCTCAGGACCACATGAACAACAAGTAATCTCTGTTAAATAGAAACTATCATTATGTTCAACCCTAATTATACATGCTCTGAGTTGGTTACCATACATATTGCATTTCCTTTATTTTATACCAGGCAATATGTTGGAAAGGCAGATTTTCTAGTTTTTCGGGCGATGAATCAACATGGTTTTCTTGGACAACTGCAAGAAAAAAAACTTGTAAGTGGTCTAAGGTCTGACCTTTTTTTCCCCTCATCTGTATTTATCGAAGGTCAACACTATGCAAAGGAATGGTAGAAGTCATGTAGAATTAAGGTAAGTCATTTAGTTTGTTAACCCTCCCCCTTTTTCTTCCCTTTGGCGTGAAGGTGATTTGCTTCACTATAGCCCAGCCGAAGGCGGTAAATGAAACCAGGTCTCTGTTATAGCTATCAGATAGGATAGATGACAACTTCACCAGTCATATATCTTCATATACCGTCTCTGTTATGGCTATAAGATAGGATAGATGACAACTTCACCAGTCATATATCATCATATGCTTTGGGGAGCATCTGTATTAGTTTTTCTCAGTTCAATGTTATGGCGTTAATTCAACCGGATTTTCCGATTTTAACTTTGTCAATAAAAATCTAGTGTGCAGTGATTCAGTTGCCATCACAAACACTGCTGCTATCTGTGTCTGATAAAGCCTGCCGCTTGATTGGAATGCTTTTTCCTGGGGTATGATTTGTTCATAATGCCAACTTCTACTACCAAGTCAAATTCTCTACATACCTTTTATAAATCTTATATTTGAATGTGTTCTCTATAATTGAAAATTTGGTTTACAATTACTTTTTCTGCATTTTAGGATATGGTCGTTTTCAAGCCACAGATATCTAGTCAGCAGCAACAACAGCAGCAGTTGCAACACCAGCAGCTGCAACAACAGCAGCATCCACAGCTACAACAGCAACAACTTACACAGCTTCAGCAGCAGCAACCCCTTACGCAGCTACAGCAGCAGCCTCCTCTTCCGCAGCAGCTACAACAGCTGCAACAACAGCAGCAGATTTCACAGATGCAGCAACAGCAGCAGATTTCACAGATGCAACAAACACCACAGCAGCAGCAGCAGCAGCAACAAATGGTTGGGACGGGAATGGGTCAATCTTATGTTCAGGGTCCTGGCCGATCACAGTTAGTGTCTCAGGGACTAGTTTCGTCACAAGGGCCAGCAAGCATGGCAGGAGGGGGCTTTTTGAATTGATTAATTCATTGATTGGAAAGGCATGCAACTATTTATAACAAGTACCCATGTGAAGAATCTGTATATTCGCAAAACATGACTTGATTGTCAAATATTCTCATTATATGCTTTGGAATTTAATGTTTAGAAGTCTTTATTGTTTTGGTTTGTACGATTTAATTGATTACTCAGAGCATAAAAGGTAGTCTTTTTTACATCCTTTCTCACCTTCAATTGCTTGCAATTCTGTGTCCTTTGGGATTTTTTTTAGGATTTGCTCATTCTAACAGTTTTATTTGTCAAGCCATTCATGCTAGCATGAAACATTTTGTCCTTGAAGTATGTTGGCCTCGGCGTCTTCTTTGTTAGTTAGTAGGGTTCGTCTGCAATACTGAAATTTGCTTGTATTTAATTTGGGTCATTGATGTAATTTTTCTCCTTTTCTAGCTGTTGATCAGTTGAAAAGGTGGGACACCGGTTACTTGGTAAATTGGTAATGGAAAAATAGTAAAATTAGACAAATAACCTCATACCAAAAAGTTAGTAACAGACCTAAAAAATGTGGTAAATTAACTTTTAAAAATGTAACACTCACGTAAGTTAGAATTCATTCTAAAATGTTGTATCTCAATTCATTAAAATTGAAATCTGGCCCAAAAAGTATAAGCTAATTCAAAAAAAGTATAACCCAATTCAAAAAATTTGAAATTTCAGGCTAAAAAATTATAAACTAATCAATAAAAGTGGAAACTCCAAAAAAATATA